ATGCTCCTCCTTTGCAAGATCGAGCCCTCTTTGTCCCTGTTGAAATTATGGAGTAGAAGATGAACCTCTGCACAAATAAACTCAATGGCCACTTGAGCTGCCTTATTGGTCTGATGTACAAGTATTCCTCATTGGAGGCAGTTGGCTGCAGCAGGTTCCATTATGTATGTCACTCAGGTTTGTGGATTTGAATGCTCAAGCTGCATGACAACCAAATCATGTCGATGATCCTGTACATGCCTGTGTGATAGGCTGCATGTCTTGGGACTTGAGCAGGCTCATTCCTTGCTGCCGATTCTGCAGGTTCTGAAATATATGTGTTATATCATTTTTTGTATTCTGTTCGAAAGGATTGTATGACATTTAAGTCTCCACATGCCGTCACTGACTTGACAGAAAAGATGTCTTTGTCTAGGTGGTTGCCGGCGACATATTCTTTTGCGAGGTGCACCAGGATCAGGACGACTTGGAGCCTGCTGTCAGGGCTGTTGAGAAAGGGGCAGTGGCAGTTGTGGTGCAGAGCGATGAGCAGGGCGTGCTGTGTTGCGAGGACATGCCCCTCATCTACGTCAAGGACATACATGACTGCGAAGCCAGGCTGGCAGTGGTGTTCTATCGTGAGTTTGAAATTCTGCTGCATGCTGTGCGGCGTCCAGGAGTGGGTTTGGCACCATATCCTCTGGCTCGTTGCGGCAGTTGAGCCCTCTCCTTAGGCCCCTGACTTGCTCCACATTGGGCGTGACTACCATTTGTTGTGGCTGTGACGGACTGCTGCATTTAAACCAGGGTGAAGCAGTTGGAAAAGGCGGTACCAGCCATTCCACTCACTGTCACACGGCCCTGTTGCACTTGGATATGTCAGCATGGTCTCCATGGATACCAGTTGTCAGAATATCCATGATAAGCAGAAAAACAACTGCACCTCGTAGGCGATGACGGTCGCAGAAACATCCAGTCCATGTTTGTTCAGGCACAGGTGCCACGGTGGTGGAGCATCCAGGATGGGTATCATGTAGTACAGAATTCCTTCTTGTTCGAACAGGCGATTTTGATGCCCACATTTTGCTATCATCGTGCTGAGGTCCCTTGGCAGTGCTTCTCCATATTTAGGCAAACGGTTCAAAGGAATGAATGTTTAACTTCATGCCCATAAGTTGAGGATAAGATGCCCAGCAGCGCTGCAAAACTGAGAAACATGTGGACACCTTACTGGCAGGCAACCCTTCAGGCCGCATGCTCATGGTGGGCGTCACGGGAAGTTCAGGAAAGAGCACTGTCTGCTGGCTGACTCGTGCAGTCCTGGAGCATTGTGGGTTAATGACGGGGCTCATGAGTGACAACGAATACGCCATAACTGACGACCTCCTGGACGAGGAGGGCGACCTGTGGAACGAGCCCCATCCCCACCCCGCAAAGGAGCGCAGCTGTTCCACGCCCTTCCACCTCACACCCTACAAGGGGAGATACACAGTGCCGGACACACTGCCGGACACGCTCAAGGTTGGGGGCTGGCCTGGCCTGGCCTGATGGGTTCGTCACAGTGGAAGGTGAATGCCTGGGGCCCTCAAACCAGGTGGCAGGGTGGGGCCTTCGCGGCAGAAAGCCCCATCCCTTGCATCCAACACCGATGATGCCCCCAGAGCCCAGCTTAGACAGTTGAAGCTAAAATGCTCAAAGCAAGTTGTGTCAGAAGTTTCTCAGTACAGGAATTCTTGTCTAGGCAGTATGCCATCTGATTCGTGGATTGCTGGTGCCTGTATGTTGCAATTTGCAGGCTTTTGTGCGTTGAGACATTCCTGGTAAAAACTTCTGGCATTTTGCGTTGCCATGCGATTGTGCATGTGACCTACGACATGGACCAGTGATGGGAACTGCAGTGCCCAGTTCAAAAACAGCAAGGCAAGGTGCTCAGCAATGCCGGCACTACTATGGAGTTCATTTTGGAACAAAAATGTCGGTACTTGTTTCCTTGCAACGGCAAGGCTTTTGGGGCTGACTACTTGTGCATCCCAATGTGCACGTTTGAAGCCAGGAATGGGTTGCATGTTAGAGCACTTCTTCTAGCATTAATCCGTTGGGACCTGTGTGCTGTTCATGTTTATCAGAATACATGGTTGCCCAGTGCCAAGAACGTCGTGTCCCAATCGCAACCTTCAACAATCTGGATTCCATCTATTGAGATCCTGGAATGAAAGAGATTCCACGTTGTCTTTCAAAGCATGGAACAGAGAATTTTCTTTTTGTGCTCTGGGAGGGGGGCCCATTGCAAGTCATTTTTCTCTGTTGCTCAACAACCACCTTTCAAAGATGGAAAGCAAAGAAGCACCTGTGCCTACTTGTATCCTTGGGCATTTGCAACTCTCTAGGCATTGTCAACCCTGTCCCATATGTTGGCTACTTGCTTGAGGTGTGATTATTTGGCCTGGCTGCTGGAGTAACTTGGGTTCCCACTGCTTTTGCCTTGAATCGGAGCACCACACATCTGTCTTTCGGGCATGATTCAGCATGTAAACGTTTGTCGCCATGTGTTGCCCACATCCAGCCTTGCAGGCATTGAGCCATATGCACAAGGACAAGATTTTGCAGCTCATCGCGCTTTGCAACGGGCTTTGCATCGCAGCTAGGGAGCGCATTTCGGACTTTGGGATACACGTAGCCCAGGGCAGAAGCTCATAGGTGGCACCAGCAATGTTGTGGTTGCACAGTGGTTTTACACAACAGCGCAGCCATCCCTCACCAGTGAACAATCTCACAGGCAACTTTCACCCACGCATTTTTCGCTGCTGCTGTTGCCACCAACTTGGGGTCCTTCTGGTATCAATTCATGCAGGTGCAAAAGGTGCTGGCAGGAATGTTTGAGCGGGGAGCCCAGGCATGCGTGATGGAGTGTCCAAGCATCGCGCTGGACCAGCACCGATGCCACTATGTGTACTACGCCCTGGCCGTGTTCACGAACCTCACACCCGAACACCTTGACTACCATGGGTCGCTCGATGACTACATCGAGGCAAAGGGACTGCTGTTTCAGGTGGGGCTCAGTGTGTGGTCGAATTCTTGCAATGTATTTGCCAGAGCTTGACAGTACATTGTTGTTGCGACATGCAGGTGACATGTCCTAAAGGCAGTTTTGGATGCGATTGTTTGTTCATAACTCCATCGCTGAGCGACAGTGCCAGTGGTCATTTTGGGCATAATAGGGTGGCAGGGCTGATGACGGTTGGTTTACTGAGTTGCTGGCTTGCATGGTATAATGCCTATGGAAAGACTCAGATATTATAATGGCAATAAGGGACATGAAAAGATATCCTCACATTGTGTTCCCGCTCTCTCCCAAAATGTGGTGGTAGGCTGTCCATGGACGTCAATAACGAAGTCACAGCATTATGCAGAAACTTTACTGGATAATGTTTTCGTGGTCCTCAATATCAGTTGATGCAGATCCAAAGGCGATGAAAAGCTACTCAGAGCAGGAGCTTTTTGATGTTTGAAGCTGCAGTCTCATTCAGCTGGCTCACTTGTTGTGCAGCATCAAAGCATTGTGACAGGTTGTGGATGGCACTAAGAGTGGGCAGTATTGTCTGTGATTTCTGTGTTTTGTCAGTTTTTGTTGTGTTTTGTGGAATTTCTTTGCCATGATACACCGAATTTTGCCTGTCAACCATCTTAGTTCACATATCGTATGCCACATACCACCAATATCACAATAGCAACATGTGACAATGCAATGATATGGTAAGATCAGAAAGTTTATCGTTGTGAGGTATGTCGCCATTCTTGCGGTGTGTGCAATGTAGGAATGAGAATACACAACTCCATAACAGTGCTGATTATTGTTCAACGATGCTATGCCATTTTGTTGTTGGCAGCAGTTGTGTGCTGTAACTGTTGTGCCCTTGCCCCTGCAGAAACTTGACAATCCCGAGAAGCAACGAGCTGTGGTGAACATCGACAGCGAGTATGCTGCCAAGTTTCTGGAGTTTGCTGCCAATGTACCAGTGGTGACGTATGGCATCAAGGACCAGAACGCCGACGTGTGCATCGAGTCTGTCAAGTACTCAATCTGGGAGACAGAACTTCTGATAAGGACGCCTGTGGGTCGCATGGAGGTGATCTCTTACTTGATCGGGGAGCACAATGTGTACAACGTCCTGGCTGCTGTGGCAGTGGCGCTGTCGGTCAATGCACCCCTTGAGAAGATCGCCGCAGGACTGGAGTCTGTGGAAAATGTGCCTGGCAGGACTCAGGTGGTGGACACAGGGTCACAGCAGCTCTTCAGCGTGGTGGTGGACAATGCCCACACACCACAGGCGCTCACCCGGTTGCTGGACAATATCAGGTGGGGTGCTCAATCCTTGATCTGTTCATGCGGATGGATTTGCGCCCGCCTTTCACCTTGAAGGTAGCCATGTAGTGACATATTTTGACATACATGCCAGCAACGAGGTGACCAAAGGGATCTTGCTGCTTTGGCTTGGGATTGGGATGCCCAATCCTGCAGCATGCCTTCCTCTGAACGTCTGTTTAAAGTCTGAAGTGTGAATGCTGCATCCCAGCTGAGTGGATTCTTTTGACACTTGTTTGCCTGAGTGACAAGCCTTGAAATGGCAGTTGGTGCTGGTTTCATGTGGTCCATGTGGGGACATGGCACAGCAATTGCGCCCCAATTAAGAGTTGTGAGCTTGCAGCCATTGCTCTTGTTGCAAGTCAATTTAGCTTTCATTGCGAATATAATTTCTTTATCTGAGATTGGCTTGCAGGCGACAAAGGCGAGGGAAAGCATCATGGGCAAGACGCCAGCCAACGCCCGTTCCCCATATCATTGAACAGCGTTGCGGCTGCCTGTTTTTGCCACCTTGACAACCCGCAGATTAAGTACCAGGCGTCTTCACTATCAGAGCTTGAGCATAGCATCAGCAGAGCGTTGTGGCACTCGTTGGCATTTTTGGTTAGCATTGCTGTGTTGATGTATGGCTATTGGCAGTAACATGCACGTTACAGAGCATCAATATCAGCCTACCAGGGTTCATGTGCAAGTAGACTTGTGTAAGTACCAACATGAAAGTGGGAATGCTTTAAGTCTATATGCATGCGACCAGCAGCTCAATAGAGACATTCAGCAAGTTCCAGAGCAACTATATTTGGAGAGCATTCCTTGAGCAGTACTGGGCCTGAAGGATTTCGTTATTGTTGATGTTGGTAATCAGCTTGAAAAGATAGTTGGCATTAGTAAGTTTCATGACTGAATTCTCCGCCAACTGAGGTCTCAACACTTGTTGGTGAAACTGCACCTGCAGAATGTGTGGCCCAAGGCGCATTCTTGTCGTGTTTGGTTGCACGGGCGACACGGACAAAGAGCTGAGGGCGGAAATGGGTGCCGCGGCTCACAACAAAGCTGATGTGGTCATCATCACCAACGACAGTCCTGGCCACGAACACCCAGCGGACGTCGTGGCTGATATCGTGGCTGGCTTCCCTGAGGAGGTCCGTGACCGCTACTCGCTGTGGGTGCACACGCCCTGGCAGGACCCCTCACGCACTCCCTGGTGGTTCGAGCAGTGGCTATACCAGGCGCAGAGGGAGAACAGGCGGTGAGCATCTGCATGTAGAATTCCTTCGCTTAAAGTATGCCTGCGCTGGGCAAAATACGGCAACCACACATGGGCAGCACACTGGGTGGTGCTTGCTTTAAATCACTACATTTGATAAAGTGTTGATAAATTGTAGTTGTGCAGTTCTTGTGCCAGATGTTTAATCATTTGTTGTGCTGAAAACTCTGCATCAAACTTGAAAGCATGGACGCAACTCCCATCTAACAACGTAGATGCAGGTTGTTATCCACTGTTGGGGAAGCCAAAGACAGATGCATTGCTGTGAGCACTTTCTATTGGGTCTATGTCTCTGTGTCTCTTCATGTTGGGTATGAACACCAGCATGGGACTTCGTGCAAACTTTGCATGCTGTGTACTCAGCACACATCACCACAGTGCAAGGCAGGCGCCCATTGCGGGTGGTAACGGAATGCTGCGACTTGCAAGCATTGTGCACAGTTAATGATATGCACACAAGTAGTGGGTGCCTTGATGTCATCCAAGTAATTTCATTCTGGAATTCAGGATGGAGCTCTTTGTTTGTTGTAGCAGAATGTCGTATTGTTACCGTTGCAACCATGCAAGCGTGAAGTGCCACTGGACACCACAGTCTGCCGTTACCGTTGCAACCATGCAAGCGTGAAGTGCCACTGGACACCACAGTCTGCCGAAAGACATGCAAGCAGCGCCCCCATCCATAATGGTGCCTATAACTGATTGAGTATTATTAACAACTAAAGGCGTAAAGAGATGATGAGGCACTAGGAATTGCAATAAGGACGTTGATGAACAGACTGGATATAAGGGACAGAACTCCTGTTGTCCCTTTGCCTCGGCTGTAAACCGTTGCCTTGGACTCGAGCGTACGATCCCCGTTCAGGAATCGCCACCCCTCGATCCTGCCTGCCTTCGTCAGTGTTTATGACCTGAATGGCCGAACAGCACATCACCAGTGCTCCCCTGCTTCACTCGAAATCGAACATCTATGTTTTGTTGTGCCCCACAATGCATGCCATGCGTTTAGTCATCATTGCGCCAAGAGAATTGTGCAGGCACTCATAGACGCTGATGTCCCTGGGCCGCCACAGGTACATCATAGAAGACCGCTTCTTCGCGATCCGCACAGCGATTGGGACGGCCCAAGAGGGCGACGTTGTTGTGATAGTGGGCAAGGGCGACGTGGACGTCCAAGAGTTTGCCGACGGGAAGGGTGGCATCGAGACGGGTTGGTTTGACGACCGCATGGAGGCTGCAGACGCGCTTGGAAAGTTGGGCTACCTGCTGAGCGCCGGATTGGATCGAAAAGAGATTCCCTGGCAAAAGGCCAAGGCAGAGGCATAGGCGAGGGGCGATGCTGCCCATGTGTGTGCCCTCTGCTGGGCTGTCCTTGAAGATGGCCAACGGCAGCAGCCAATTTGTAACTGAGCTCCTTTGACTGTTTTTGCCTTCACAAGACGGAACAGGGGGCGAGCGCCTTGGAGGATGATGAAGAACACGTGCGCAATGTGCACTGCGCGTCCCAACGTTTGCTTGCTGCCAATGCTGCGGTGGCCCCCCGTCCTGACCATCAATTTTCCGGCTGTGGGGCTGGAGTGGTGGCCATGCATCAGACACGGCGTTTGTGGAGGCCGAATCTCCTTTGCCGATTGGCGAAATCCATGCTGAGGGCATACCGTATTGTACAAAACCATTGTGCATAGTGACGTAACGTTTTGGCCTTTTGATGCGGAGCAGTAATAATAACGAAGTGTTGCCAAGAAAATGTGGAGCAGCACCAGCCGTGACGTGAAGGTCTCTGGAGTGCTTGCGTCATCTAGCAGCCCTAGGTGCATCAATCGCTGCGGCAGAAAACTGGGCATTTGAGGCCATGTGAACTGAGCGAAGTCGCCATTCCGGCTGTGTCCAAGATACGGACCCCCACAGCTAATGTTCCCTTGAAGAAATGTGGAGCGAAAATCGCAGAGCTGAAATTTCAAAATGCGGAAGGTTGCAATATACTACCAAATGTCAGCATGAGTAAATCACTGTCTCTCACCCAGTGAGTGGCGTAGGGCATTTTGACCCGCAGAAGCCCCCCCGTGCACGAGTGAATGATCTCCATCAGAAACCATTTTGGCTTAATCTGCTTGCACGGGTTTTACCGTGATGGCCACCTTCAGCCTGTGTGACGCATATGGCACATGGCAACATCCATTTCACTGCAGTGTCGGCCGGTTCTTGCGGGTTCCAAGGTGGAATGGACTGCGTTGTGCACACAAACGGCACGCTCTGCTCCACCCACTACTGTTTTGCCCACAGCGCGAACTCCGTTGTGCCACCAAAGACACACAACGTTGGAATTCACCTGCCTTGCATCATGTTGCCAGTATGGCCAGCCAACCAACTTACAAGAACATTGTGTCGAGGCATTGTAAGACGAACAGGCAGTCGTAAGGCCCTCCAGTTTGCAAGTGAAAACATTGTCGATGATCGGTGCAGCGACAAACCAAGGAGTGCACGGATGCACGCTTTGCATGAACGCATGCAAATCCAACGCTTCAGCTAAGCTACGCGAGTAATGAGACGCGTTTAATAAGAAAGCTCAGCACTATAAATTCTGATCTGCGTTTCCTGTCCAAGGAAAAGAAGAAAACGATGAACATCCCAACTGTTTGTCAATCGCAGTCATACCTCATGTGGTGGGTCGTAGGGAGAGAATCCGAATTGGAGAATATTGCTTGCGCATTCCCCGAGGCCTCCATTGCCAACAGCTGCCAGAGCACGGGGAGCCCTGCTCCATGAGCCGCTCCAAACGCCGTTTCAGGGAAGAAATTGTCAACAAAGTGCTAAAATGTACTGAACCTTGTGCCATACTTTCCAGCAATAGTGTTTCCAGTGAGCCGCCAGACCCCAAAGTCACCCAGGACCAAAATAGAATCAGGAGCAGATGAGCAGCGTCGCACAATCGCGGCGCCGGAACGCGCCATGAGCTGACCCGCCCAAGAGCGGCCATCAAATCCCCCTGCACGCATCCAGGCAAGCGTAACCTGCATCACTGCTGTGCACGGCCACCACTTCTCGGTTGCCTCATAGTCCCCGGCCCTCAAATTTGTGGCACTTCCTGTCTAAAGCCCCGTCACCCACTGTCATTTTTTGTCCCCAACCCATCAGCGCGTTTGAGCACAATGCAGGCAAGCAGTTGTCCGCCCCACGCCGGTGACCGGGGAGATCGACTCTGGGAGTCACGACGCGCGGAACGTCAAGCGTGAGTTGTGACACTCACAACTCAGGCGCGCTTCGGCATCCCGTGGGTGTCTCAGGTCGGGCGACATTCCACTCCGGGGAGCATGTTGCCCAACCCGGCAATGCAACAGTGCATCCGCGAGATGAAAGCAGTGAGCGGCAGCCGCGGCGCATGCATTCGTGCGATCGTGTGCCGCGGTGGCGGTACACGACGAGCAGGTGACACGACGGGCACAGTTCAACGCGGGTGGGCGGCAGCGGTCCGTCCGCCCATGGAAGGGGCCGCCGGGCACAGTTGTGCGTCCTTGCCGGGGGGACGCCCAGCTGCAATCGACAGGAAACGCGGGGCCGGACCGACGAGGACTCGCCGGCCCAACGGGCCTCGGCCCGTCGGCTTTCGCAACCGTGGCACGCGGATGCGCCGCTGATTCGGAGCAGACCCGGGCGATTAGCCCGACGTGCACGGCAGTTCGCCGGGCTATCTCGTCAAACACATCGGCGCTGTTGGTTTGACTGTCGATCCCCAAAGATCGCCGGCGCAGACGAGCGAACTTTCAAAAGGAACCGGCAAACGGCGAAGTGGCGGATGTCAACTGCGAGCGCCGCCTCGCCCCGCGCACTCGACCGTGGGGCGAGCGGGGCCGAACCAGAGCCGGTGACTCGCGTGCGGCGCCCGGAACTCCGGAACCCCAAACTGCCCAACCCCAGCGGCGACAAATCACTCCCAACCTGCGAAGTACGGCGAGTGCACAGCGAGCCGGCAAGTTCGACGTCCCCGGCGCGTGAGCCACGTGATTGGCCGACGCCTTTGCCTGCCACGTCGGCGTGGCTGCCTTGGACTCAAAGCACAGGCCCTGGCCCCGGCCCCCAACCCCTCGTGCGGCCCCCCCACACCCCCACACCTTTGCCGCCCACCGCTTGGCCCTTCCTCCCCACCTGGCCCACCACGCCGCCAGCGAAGCACAGTCTCGGCCAGTCGCAGAATCCCTCGCGCATTTTCGCGGTCCCGTGACTTGGCCGTTTTGGCCCGAATCTTTTCGCGAGGTCCAAGGAGGCCTTGCGGCGCCATTGGAGGCCGCTGGGGGCCCGTGAGACCGCCCCCCTGGCGGCGCAGGCGCTGATTGGACCCGGGGGCCCATGGGGAACTGCTGCTGCCGCGGCTCGGAGGCCTTCGAGGGTGACTTCGTGGGATTCGACCTGACGGGTCCCAACGACCCCAAAGTGATCGCCCAGGACACATGCTGTGAGCGGCGTGGGCTCGGCGCGGGCGGCTGGGGAGGGCGGGCGCTGGGGCAGGGCCGCCGCGCGTTTGGCATTGATTGCTGGCGGAATAATGAGGGGCCAACCGGGGAGGATTAGTATGCTAGGTTCCCCTCTGTGGTCCGCCTGCTCGCCCAAGTACCGGCAACGCCGCGCGGGCGCGCTGGCGCCGGTGCTTGCTTCGTCCGGGGACGCGCAATCGCTGCGGCAGCACAGGATCGCCCGTCCCCCGTCGGCATGCCGGGGGGGCTCCCAGGCACCCGGCCGGCGTCCCGCGCGGTTTGATTTCCTGCGCTGCGAATGTTTTGGTGCAGTCACGGAGGATGAGGTGTACGCCCTGTTCGAGCTGTTCCGGGAAGTCAGCACGTCGGTCGTGGCGGTGAGCGGCGGGAGTCTGGGGCGCGCCCCGGGCCCGTTTGGGATCCGAACGGCACCCCTCCTGATACTGGATACACTGCGAGGACGTTGTAAAAAGAGGGGAATACCCCGCTCTCATAGCACTGCCGTGGTTTGGATCTGCCGACTTTTGCGTCCCCGCCGTGGTGACGCCGAAGTTGCCGAGGCGCCGGTGGTGTCTGGAGCTGGCCGACTTGGATTCGGTATTGCCGAGAGACACCTCCGCGGAGGAGGGAGGAGCCTGATTGGCTGGGGTGTTGCTGCGCAGGACGGCCTCATTCACAAGGACGAATTCAGTGTCGCGATTTTCAAGACTTCGCAAATCAACCTGTTCGTCGAGCGCGTAAGTGTTTGCTGCTGCTGCTGATGGGATGGCACGGAGCATCAACGCTGGGTGTTCGTGGGCTGGTGAATATCCAAATATGTTGACAGCCATTCATCGGCTGGTTGGTGTTCGACCGGACTGGCATTCCTTGCTCTCTGGATGGGGCAACAAGTCGGTAGTCGCGTAATTGGCTCATCAGCGTACCAAACAACATAGTGTCTAGGTGCTGTTCGGGCTTGGGTTTGTTTGTTTGTTTGTTTGTTTGTTTCTTCCTTACATGGATGCATCGACATGACGTCACGGCATCGATCAATGTATCAATTCGGGCTTGGGTGTCAGTTTGTATCACAGACCAATTCCATTTGCCACAACCGTCTGCCAGAAACTGATAGCTGGCATACGCGGTGTTTTCTGTCCTCAATTCCTTGTGGCAAACCTGTGATGCTCGCTGTTCACTTGCTCTACTTCCAGTGAAAGACCCAGTTACCATTGTACATTTTGCAGTCGCTGACTAATGCACATCGGTCGTTTCCAGGTATTCGAGCTGTTTGATACCAAGAGGAATGGAGTTGTGGACTTCGGGGAGTTTGTGAGGTCGCTGAGCGTGTTTCATCCTCAGGCCCCCCTCAGGGACAAAGTCGACTGTAAGTGGCCCAATTCCACGTTGCCATGTGCCACTTCCCTGTGCTGACGGACTTGGTGTGGGGTGAGGCACATGCTGGCCCACACCCACCCAAGGTTCATATTGATACTCAGTCTTTCTGCTCAAACTCTATCTTCCTTGTTGTAGTTTGGTTTTGGAGCTTAGCGCTTGATGTCTTCTAAAGAGGCTGCGATTTTGCCAAGAGGACTGGAGCTCTAATTGGATGCCCTTTGCTGGCACAGAAAGCTCGCCCAGTTCAGAGCCTCTCCTGTTCCTTTGTTTGAAATCATGCTGGGTGCCTTGCCACATGCCTTTCCTGTGTCCGTGGAATGGCGACTGAGACATGAAGCAAGGACATAGCCATAGAGCACAAGGTGCTGTGGCGGCCATCCCCAACACAGCACTCACCACCCAAGGATGTCTTGAGTGCTTGTGTCCAGACGCTGTGAAGAGACATGGAGCTGAACATCAACATGACAGCAGGAGGGGACAATGTGATTGACCAACACCATGCTATGCCCATGGCATCCATTCCAAAGATGACCATTTTTGACTCCAACTGTGTTTGATGCCCAACTAATTGTTGATGCACCTGTAAATTTCTATGTTTTTTTTGTTCATTATAAAAGAACCGTATGGAAACTTGCCTGCAGGTTGAGAGATGTACAATGCCAGAGTCGTCCGCTTTGCTGCTGGGTTCTTACTGCTCTTGTGCTTGGGCTGCTCTTGCCAGTCTGTTGGCCTTCGAAGTGTGTGAGTCCTGCCTGACCTGAACGGTGGTGTGGCGGTGTGGGCACACAGTTGCTTTCAAGATTTATGACATGAAGCACACTGGAGTGATCGAGAAGGATGAGGTGTTCAATTTGCTGTCGGCTCTGCTGCACGAGAATCCAGATCTGAGGTTGCCCAAAGAGGCGGTGGCCGACCTTGTTGATCGGGTGAGCATATCGTGTGCAATACAACATGGGCACTTTTCATTGCCCAGCTGCAAAGAGCCTGACCTTTGGTTTGACAAAACAACTGCACATCAATCAACCCTGCAATGCATTCTCCTGGTGGCACTGCACAGCTCATGGGCTTCGGTATCATATGCAGATTCAAGAGTGTGGATTCAGCATGTTTGCTGGGTGTGGTTCGAGGGAAATAAGAGAACCTGAGCAATCAACTGACCATGCACTCAAATTCACTCAAACATTGCCGCACTGGCCTTGCAAGTACTGTCAGAAGTTGAGTGTGGCACTTGATCTTGTGGGTCACATCAGGTTCCCTTTGGTTGGGTCACGTTTGTCCTTCCCAACTGCTGGACGGGCCTGCAGATGCAGCACTTATGTACCCCTGGTCAGCGGCTCGGATGCCCTGTTGCTATCACCCCCCTGAACAGATACGGGGCGATGCTGATATATCAGTTGTGGTCGAAGCGGTCCTGCCACTCTTTCGATTGCATTGTCCATTGTCGCACCTCTTGCTAGGTGTTAATCTTTTGTGCATGTGCTGTTTCTGCATGCGCCGACCATTTGTCACCATCAGCTGTCAGAGTGTGGAGCACAACCTCCCAACACTAATGCTCATCAGGTGCCCACCATGTTGAATGTTTCCTCTTCCCACGGGAGTTGCAGTACTCTGTTGTAGCTATGATAAGGGCTTCTGCATTGGCAATGCAACGCAAAGGTACGGGTGGCAGTCCCTGTAAGCATACCTTACCTAAAAGCTTGTCATGTCTGGGTGCAAGCAGACCTTCCAAGAGGTGGACATTTCGAAATCAGGGTACATATCCATGGAGGAATGGCACAACCTGTGCTCCCAAAATCCCACCGTCATCAGCTACATGACCCTGTCGGTACTCAAAGAGCTCACCACGCGCTACCCAAGCTTTGTGTTCAGGAAGCAAACATGAGGACCCGCATTCCCAGGGACCCGGCGTCCCTGCATAATGGCCCACGGGGCCGGTGGAGAGAATTTGCTTCACCTCAAAACGGATGCACAGCGCTGCCTGGATTGCAGGATGCCCAACCACCCTGTTGAGCCCCGCCGCAAACGGCCCTGGCACTGATGTGGCCACTGCCGACGTGGTGGCATATGCCAGCGTCCTTTGGGTGGCCTGCAGGACTGCTGCGACCAGGGACAAAATGTGCTTGGTGGAGACCGACGGTGGCAATTGGCCGGTGGCTTCGCGAGGGTGCAACTCGGAACGCGGGCTGTGACCCAAGGGTTGCTCACAGAGCCGGACGCAATTACACAATGATGGTCAGAGGTAGAATTGGTTTCGCAGTGAATGGACATATGGTTTGTGTGCTTGGAACGGGCTCCCCCAATTTGAAACTCGTGGACCATTTAGAAGTGCTGCAGGACGTATTCTCAAGCTGTGGAAAGGGCAACGGGGGCGTGGTGAGGGGAGGGCGAGGGCGGCCCCCACTCAGAAACAACGGATGAGTATGTTTGATGAGGATGAGCGCGCATGTCTTGAATGTTGTCTTGGGCTGTAGAATAGGGAAGGGTCTGTTGCGTTTGCGGCGCCATGTGCTGACTGGCGGCCCATTTTTTGGCTGAGCTTTTCTTTGCCTGCGAGGGCGTGTGGGGGGCTGTGCCGGCGCCGGTGGAACCAGGCCTGCGGGGTTTTCCCAAATGTACGATTGGGCGGGCAGGCCGCACCTCCGTTTGATTGAAGACAAGAAATGCTGCTGTGTGAATCATCTTGATCGTTTTGTTCGTGCCTGCGGCAGTCGTCCAGAGCACACGGCATTGGTTGAACCCTGCTCGCTGTTTGTACCCCCGGAGTGCTTTACAGCAGTCTGGATGTTATCGACCAGGCCCGTTTGCAGAAAGCTGGCCTTTGAACCCTTGCCCTTCAACGGGGAATCAACACCTGAAACACAAGTTCACGCGTTGTTGGCATTTCACGCACCTGCCCACATGGGTCCGCCTAATGGTATGTATTTGCAGCTTTTCAAACGTTGTTGTGAGTGCCAGTGTGTACTGTGTGCTTCCCTGTTGCAATCAGGCACCTGTGCGTCATTATCTACGGTCTCTCCAACCCGCAGAAAGGATACACGCGCCCGTTGAATGGCAGTTTGCCTTGTTGGGATAAATCCTTACCACGCCGTTTCCATTCGACACAGGACGCGCTGGAGTCCCGACACACCTGGGACGTCGTATGGGGACAGGTCACTCAGCACGGCAGTCTCGAACACTTACAACACGCCGATTCGACAATTAGCATGCTATCCATTATCTCGTCCTCTTGAGATGTGTCAGCACCCAACTCCATTCGCAAAGAACCCATTCCGGAGCACAGGGCACCCGAATCTTGGAGCTTCCTGCGGCGCGACCAAACCTCTGCACCCTCCACGCAACCATCATCCTCAGCACCCGCCATCATTAGCCCTTCCCGAAGGCCCACAACGTCCCACTGCCAACTCCTTTGCCTCTATATTGTTTCTGTAGTGTGCGCACCGCCCCCGCGCCACGCACACTTATTCGTTTTCTCAACGACGCATGAGCGCATCCGCTCCCCCCCTTCATGCCCCACCCCTACCCCTTTTAACCACAACCCGCAGACTGAAGTCCGCCGGCCCAGCGCGTAGCTTTACAACAGAAATAACAGAGGACGCACAACTGCAACAAAGAACAGCAGTCGGCGTCCGCTCATGTAAAACAACCCCGCCCAAACTCTTCCCACGCGCTGCGAGAGGCCTATCTGCAGCCCACCAGCGCAAAACCAAAAGCCAGTCCAGACCCAGGGCATGTCCACGCTTGCGGAAGCCCAACGCCCGTGCATTGAAGGGCGCCTCGCATTGGACCTTCTGTTGGGACAAGCCCAAGGCGGGTCGATCAAAATCAAGGCAGCCACGAGCCCACCGCACCTGGCCTTGGCCCGCCTGTCAAGCCCACCACAGGTATCACGGAGGGAATGTACATCCAGGTATTCAGGCCACAGACACTGCAACCCAACCCACGGCATACCATCTTGTGTCGCATTGTGGCAAAGATGCGCGGGTGGGGCTGTGCTGGACATTCAGGTTAACGTTTTGAAAAGACAACACATCCGCAGCACCAACACAACAGTGTGGTGGGGGTGCAAAAGGTCGCCTGCTGGCATCACATTTAGACACACACCGGGAAGTCTGCTCGCCAATGGCTGAGTCTCGCATGAAGGGCAGGCGTGCCCAGCCTCACGCGAGCTCCTCCAACAACAGCTACTGCTGCAATGTCTGTGCCACGTGAAGCCACCAGAGGCGCTTCTCAATGAGGTATTTCGTACTACGAGTGCATCATTCAGGTGTGAGGATTGGGTCCCATAAACCTGGGAACAAGGGCAGGAGTCAACATTGTGTACACAGTTGCCCACTGGGCAGCACATTTTTGAACCACGAGAATGTGAATCAGACCATTGTGCATCCACAGCTAGGAGCCATCCCTGCCTTCACTGCAAATATCAGACACGCAGGGGTTGGCTATGCCGATGCAGCACCATCAATTCGCATATTCCCGGCTGCCGCTCAGAATCTAAGCCGCAGAAACTGAGCTTCGGATGCAGCTCAAGCGCCACACTCGATTCGGATGTGCGAACGTGTCTGGCACCTGACTACACCTGGTGGGCGGCCAGATGCACCTGACAAAGCCAGCAGTTTCCGAGGGGGATTCAATGGTGGACGTGTGTTGGCGGTAGGGCACAAAAAGAGTCCTCAGACAAACCAGCTGAGATAAAACGCTGGACTGCGCTGCCTGCATGCGTTTGGGCATAACGTATCAAACTGATCCTAAAAAACACAGGGTTCTTGGTTGTTGTACACATCTTTGTACTGCTCGTACTAGTTCTTAGAGACGTCAGGGTGTAGACAATAGTCGAGGGGACGAGACGAGCGGACGCACGCACGCACGCACATCGTTCTGTGGGATACACTGATGGGACAGTAATGCACTGCGCGTCCTGACTGCACAATGCTCCATGCAGAATGCATGGAGCACCAACTGAACATTCAATTCACTATCCATGTCAATATTCAATTGGACATGCACTGGAATGTCCACTTCAATGTGAAGTCAATCCAAGCCCATCAATGGCCATAAACGTATCCACAGATTTACGCACTCGAAGGCGCCCTTCAACGCTCAAAGCAGCAAAGAATGTGCCCCTTGCTGCATATCTTTGCTGAAGTTGCAAAGTCGTTGGTTGGCACGGTAGCTTACGTGCCAAAACCAGACCCCCTGCACATGCTGTTTTGGAACCAGTTCACCGCAGAGCTTGCTACGCCAATGTGGGGCCCCAGCAAGGTGGCATAGGAGACACTTACGGGGGGTGGCCCTCACATTATCGCGCACTGACAGATGCGCCCCCACTCAACGTACGGACACCCTTCCTCGACAGTTTCAGGGAACCCGCATCGAACGAGCGGGAGCGGAAGGAGTGACGACCCAGAGGACTGCAAAAGAAAGCAGCAACACCCAAACGTCAAGGAAATCGATCGTCTGCGTATAGCTAGTGTATAATTGAGGGGCTTGTCATTGGAACTCTGGCAGGCTGGCACCCAAGCGACATAACAATGTATAACTGTGCCTTGCTGCTTTATCACTGGTGGCATTTGTTGCACCCTATACTGTAGGGGTTTGGGATTTCTCCACACTACTGGTCTCCACAGGGGAACGCATTGTGTGTCTCTGTTCTGAAATTCATCGACAAGGTCATAGTGCCAGTGTGCTTGGGCGTCCAGCGGCAGAACACACCTTGATGCAGGTGAACACATAACCGCTCACCGAAAAATGGAAAATGCAAGGATGTTAAGCACCGCATTCTTGGAGAACATCAAGGTCGTGAATTCCAGAACAGTGTTCCACTTCATTCAAACAGACTTCAAAGTTGCAAATTTCAGCCAGCGACACAGGGAGAGAGCACATCACGTCTGCGTTACTTGTGATGTCTAAACCTCATCAAGTGATAAATGCAGCAAACTCCTGTGCTGCGGGCACGGCAGTAGAACAAAATGGATACATTTCCAAGGCACCCATACACACTTGATTACACATCATACACCCATTCAATTTCGGGACCAAGCAAACACCACACAATGTGTCTTACTTCTAACAGTGCTTGAGCAGCAGTGTGGTGAAACAAGAAAAATACTTCAACACACCAAGTGTGGGAGGTACAAAGAAGGGAACAGAAACTGTTCGCAATCAGAAGGGATGGCATGAAGGGGGACTGGAGGGCCCTGACACAACCCTGGAGCAAAGCTTGGCATTTAACTGGCATTAACAGTTTCAGTGCCGGTCCCATGCACCTGGGGAGTGCAAGCATTGACAGCCTACACAAAAGTGCACTGTCACAACTTGCAAGAGAAATGCCTGCGGAAACTGATTTTGACTTTGTTGCAACTATGGCAAGGACAACTCAGAACCCGCAGCACACCCCTGGGCCAGCTGAGCATGGAATGAGCTGAGCGCGTACAATGTGGAAAAGGGTCCAATGGAATGTGCAACATTGCCCGAGCAGGCTTCCAAGGTGCATTGTGGGCTCTAAACTGGAAGGCATCATGCACCAATACCTCACTCGTCACCAACTGACAATGGACATTGATAGATCCACAATTAACCCTGGCTGTTGCCTCCATGTGCAGTGCATGCACCAGTGTGCAAGCCAATCAATCGCTCACATCCACCAGCCTGCAGCAAACAACACCGCCTGAAAGAATAACAGCATCAGCAACAGTGACAAAAAGACTTTGCGACAACACAAACAACAGACGCACACAAACCACAGCAAAACTCACTGGCAGTTCACATCGAGGGGCTCTGCACCAAAGTCCTTCAGCGACAGTCCCCTTTCCTCCATCCGCCTCTCCAGGTTCTTGTACTGCACATGTACATAGTCCAGTTGGCGTTGAAGACGGTTCACAATGTTCTCCTCCTCCATCTCCATCTGCGCCTCGACATTGACCTTGTCTTTGTTTAACTTAGACACAGACCTCCCCAGGTCCTCAATCTGAGACAAACCACACCCGCTGATATGCTGCCCTGCATATCTCTTCCCGTGCCTGCATGCTATTTGCAGGGTTCTCATTTCATGCTGGCAATGTATGTGTAGGGTGCCTTTTCATGCAATTTCTCTTGCTGTTCAACAACCCGCAACCTTCCATGCTGGCATGGCCCAGGCAAAGTGACTGCGCTGAGCGATAACATATGCCCTCCCCCCCCTGCCCCCTCGAGCACAAGCCTGTTGTCTTTCTGCAGGTCAAATGCTTTTCTTCATCACAGTTTAATGATGGCTCCTATGGCCCTCAAGATGGCCAAATGCAACGTCCTCAGAAGGACAATCTACCAGGCCTGATCTGTTTCTTGGTTCTGATTTGTTGCAACAAGCGGCAGATGACAAGATCACATGACGCCCAAATGGAAGAAGACCAGGCAATAAGTTGGCAATACAACAATAGTAAGGCAGTATACAACAAGCAATACATAGTTGCAGGGTACACAACAAAAATATATCAATGCGTCAGCAACACAATAAAATCTGAAAAAACTGAAAATAAATATAAATAGCACACAAGGAAATATGAGGGTGCTCTATCAGTGCACAAGCACTGCTATTGTTCTGCAAGACTACCTTCACAGGAACCTTTCCCAAAACCCAATGGGACCTTACTCTGGCAGAGTTGGTGTTGAGTTTTCAGGGAACAGTCACAAATTTTGTTTCCAGAATCAAGAAAACAGCTGCACAATACCTGTTTGTGCAAGTCATTCTTCTCGCGAAGAAGGCCAGCTTTCTCCCGGCCCAGCTGCCTGACCTGTGGGTAAAAACAATGACAGAAACCATTAGGTTCAGGACCAGCAGATGGATGGCAATTGCCATTTACTGACAATGCAGAGACCAAGAGTCCTGATGCAAAAGGCCCTTCAACCTGGCTGCAGCCATTTCTCAACACATGGAAGCAGGCAATGCAAAGAAACTAGGAAACGGATGTGAGTGCCAAACACAAGAGTGTGCTTGGTTGGACATCATCATGTAATTGGCAAATGCGTCCACCATGTATGGGAAAATCTGGAAGCATCCTTGCACTCAACATCGTCCCACAGCTGCAAGGGATGCATTTCGCAAGTTTATCAACATATATCATCAAGGATTTACACAGCACATGCTGGACAGCACCGGCAGGGCCCCCAGCACTCATAAACATCGAGAGCCATTTAGTGCGGGTGCTCACCTGCTTCTGCAGCTTGTTGACAATGTACTCCTGCTCAGCTTCCAGCTGGTTCTCAAGGTCAATCTTCTCCTTTGTCAGCTTGTTTTTCTCACAGTTAAGGTGCTCAAGCTGCAGGCATAACGATTCATCAATGTGCACACAACACTGAAAGGTGAAACATCACGCACTACATTTGCCAGTACATGGACAACATAGCTCTTCTGCCTCACAGAGGACAGTGTCCACTTGTCAGAAAGCCATCAATCCTACCAATAGTGCATATGCTTTGCAGCCCTCAACTGACCTGAGTGCAGCCATCTTACAAATTGCAAAAGCTCTGGGAGGGCTGTTGCGATTGCTAGCACAGTTGCACATTCCACTGTCTTGGTCAATAGAGTGCTAGAGGTCAGAGGACTTGGGGAAGGACATTCCAAAGCATAACATATTGGTGTGGTCCAACACAGTGATCAACTTGATCTCAAACAGAAAGCAAGGATAAACAGACAGCAAATGATGACACAAAGTTGCACATGCGTCATGCTGGTTGTGTCATGCCACAGCAACCTGTTTCTGCAGCTTGTTGACAATGTACTCCTGCTCCACTTCCAGTTGGTTCTCCAAATCCACCTTCTCCTTTGTGATCTGCGATGAGGTCCAGCACACATCCCATCCTCAACATGCAGGGGATCGGCTGAGCCAGTCAACCAAGCAGAACTCTGACAACAAGATGCTTCAACATCAGAGGTGATGGCCCCTGCAATAGGGCGATGTGCAGACGATCTCCAGCGCACATTGGAACAGACATTGCAGCCAATGGTTGTCTGTTTTTTGAATGCTTTCAGTGCAAACCAATGTCATGCGAACATCAGGTGCATTCTTGCCTTGCCTCTTTACCAAATTGTGAAGATAAGTGTCCCCAACTAAGCCCTCTGTTCCACAACCCACAGCGAAATTCATGCACGCGACTATACTTGTGCCACGTGCCAATGCACAGGCATTGGGCCAAATTTGGTGATAGACAGAACACCAGACAATGGAACATGGGCTTGTTCCTTCCAGCCATCTGTTCCCCAACTTCAAAGGGGACCCCCATCCCACAAGCCACAGTGACTGTGGATGCACTGGGTTCTTTGTGGTCAGGCTGCTCTGGGAAGGGCGAAGAAGCGGCCCCGCAACAACAAAGTGTCTCTCAACATCGAGGCCAGCAGTATCAGCAATCGCCATGAATGGCAATCAGGTTCAAACAAACAGGAGTGAAGAAAGACTCCCCACGATCGACACAAGAAAAGGGCTTTGCCCCCACCGCAGCCAACGCGGCACCTCCGAAATCCAGCCAATGTGTTGGATGGCATAGCAAAGCTTTTTTTCCAATCTCAGTGCATTCGCCAAGCATTTGGAAGTCCTTGTCGACCAACGCAAAACCGCTGCTGCTTCATGATCTGAGCTTATTAGACATGTGGCATGACCCCCTGCACTGTTTTGAACATTGCGCCTGTGGATAAAATCATTCACTTGGACCTGAGGCTAGGCAGAGCACTAGGAGTTGGCAAGCACCATCTTTGACAACGCCTTCTCTGCCAGCTGAAGGCGCTACGCACGCGTTTCATGTTTATACGCAGGCCCAGATTGGGCGCAACCGCTGGACACAGTCGCACCCAGAGTGCTGCCGGTCATGGAGGCAAGGCAAAATCTAATTGTTGCAAATCCTGCAATCAAATCAGAAACCACAGCGCACGGACAAGACCACGCCCACGGGCGAGCGGCACTGGCCCCAATCCGGGAGGTGGACTTTCGACGCGGTGGGCAGGGTTGGGGGCGCAAGACTTGGGCATGGCCTTCGCCAGCCCTTCTCCCATAGGCAATCCCACCAGCAGCCACAGCCGCACCGGACGGCCCCCTCCCACCCAGCTACACGCCCCACCCCTTGCCGGCGCCCACCTTCTCGAGGCGTTTCTGCAGCGTGTTCGTCAAGAACTCCTCCTCCTGTTCCACCTGCGGGTCCACGATTCAAGCCAAGGAATTCAGCGTCCGCGATCCCCCCATCACCCCATGCCGACAGCGCCGTCGCCGCCGGCGCGCCCCACAGGCGCGACCTCGGTGCCGCGCACAATCGCCGGGCCCACCCCCCACCCACCTCGTTCGCCAGAATCTGCTTCTCCTGCTTGAGCTGCTCCAGGCGCTTCATCAGCCGATTGGTGATGTACTCCTCCTCCTGCTCCACCATCGTTTGCTGCAGCCACGGCCACACATCAAAGCGAGGCACGCCATCAGCCGCTGGCCGCCACGAGAAACGCACCCCGTCACCCCCCAAGCCCTCCACACACGATCCCCACCCTTCCCCCCCACCACCACCAATCGACACGCCACTTTGGCACGTGATGTCCTCTCCTTTGAATCCGCCTTATTTTTGTGCCGGGAATTCCGCTAAAGCTCCTTAAATTTGTGGAGCAAAAGCAGGATTATGCCCCGCTATTGCGTTTCGCAACAATCTTTCACCCACCGCCACCGCCGAGGACCTACCACGGCCAGACTCTGCTCCTTCGCCGCCCTCAGCTCCTCGGCGAACGAACCGCTGCGCCGCTTCTCCCTCTCTAGCTGCGCATATCAGCCACACGTCCCGCCCGTTAGCCCCCCACGCCGCAAGCGCCCTCCCCTCCCCCATTCCTGCGAAACCCCAGCGGGCCAAATGCCCCCCGCCCCTCCCTTCCCACCCCCCCTTCCTCTTCCACTCCACACCCACCATGGCCCTGACCCTGGCCAGCTCATCCAGCACTTCCTCCTTGCTGGCATCCTCCCAGTCCTCCCTCGAGAATCTCTGCATCCCGCCGACAGCACCTGACATGGCGCAGATTCTGGGCCGCCAAAATCGCGGCCGAGGCAAAGGGGCCGCAGCCCCCCGCGCTGAGGTAGAGGCCACAGAGCTTTGCGGCGGGCCGGCCGGTAAGCTCACCGCTCGGCGAAGGGCCCGCGGCAGCGGGGCGGCCGCGACGAGATATAGGCGGCACCGCGCACGGGCAAGGTGCGGTGCGAGGCCTGCGATATGCAGACGTGGGCGTGAGGGGGCAGATACCGTGATGTCGGCGTCGGCGGGGCCCGGCGCCAGTCTTCCCGGCGGGGGCGAGGCCAGGCGGCCAGTACTTTGGGGTGCAATTACTCAGCAGTCCTTTGCGCTGACGTGTGAATCGCAAGCGAAAAAAATGATGGATGGACGGAGATTTGGACAGAAACGACAGGGTGGTTGCGCTTGCGCCTTTTCCCCTTTTGGAGTTACTAATGGGAATAATAGTAACCATTTCGTGGCTGGGAAGCGAAGGGTGAAACGTCGGGCGCGCCGCTGTGCCGAACGGTCAGCTATATTTGGTAATGGAAAGCGTGACGGCGATTTGGTCGCTGTGTGGCGGCCGTCATTGGCACGTCAGAAAGTTCCGTTGGGGGCTGCTCAATGCAAGGGCCGCCATCAGCTGTGGACACCTGAGTGCATATAACGAGGGCACGAAAGCACTGCGTGATCAACGCCACTACTCCAGAGTCTGCTCACACGTTCAGTTAGGCTCGCCGCGGATTAGGCCGAGCCAATATCTCAACAGTCTGCATCTTTTAACGGAACACAGCAAAGTTGGGCACCACGGGAGGGAAGCGCGAAAATTCGACACACCTGTCGCGAACGGGCGGCTCAAATTGGCACTGAGCCTTTGGGCTGCGGCGACCCAAGGGGTACGGGAGGCATTCACAATCGGACACGCGAGGAAGGACAACTCTGTCGCACACGAACCGAACCCGTCCTTACAGATGGAGTGAGTGTTATTTATAGCTTGATGATGTGACGGTTCAAGAGTTGCTGTATCCAGAATCCTCACTCTGGCCACTTTCACGAGCTGGCCGGGTTCGTGTCCCTTTCTCATGCCAAGTTTCTATTCCCGCCGCCCAGTCCAACTATGATCCATTGCCAACTAGCCCAGCAGCTACCCGCGTACACTACCCACTCCACTCTCCCTCACTCCCACACTTCCTCAGCTCCTATTCCCGCCGCCATCCCCAACTATGATCCAATCCCAAAGCCGTCCCCGTTCATTCACTATAGCCAATTCCCCTTAACTGGCTCCCCTATTATACGTACAGCCCCACTCCCCACAGCACTATCGGCGCAAGTCGCGACGTCCCCGGCGCGAGCAAAAATCGATCATCGGCCACTGCCCCCATTCCACTCGATCAGATCATAGACAGATGCTGCCATTCTTTCCATCGCTCAATGGAAAAATGCTCCCCGGCTCTGATGCACCTTCACCTCCGAACCTTCACCTTCTTGGCCGCCTTGTTGGTGGGCGACCGCTGCCCACTCCGTCATCCTTTGGAGCTGCTCCGGATCCAGCTTGACGCTTGATTCCACGCTTTCCGGCCACTGGCGCTCTGGTCTTTGGATCCGCGGTGCACAATTTGACGTGGTGTCCCGCAAAAACCTTCGTGCGTCCTTTTCCCGGCACCTTCACTCCAATCGCTCCTTTGGCGCCTACCCACTTGACAGTGGCAGGTCCAGCCCATCGTGGCGCTAGCTTGTGGGCCCTCTTCTCCACCCAATAAAGCACAGGATCTCCCGGCTGCAGGCTGGTCGTGTCCTTATGCTCCCAAGCACGTGCAACCTCCTGCCGCTGCAACACGTGTTGTTGGCGCAGCTGCTCCAACTTCGCCAATCTCGCAGCATTGTCCCTATTAGTGTTCTCGCCCTCCTCTGGCAGTGATGGCGCTATGTCACACTCAGCCAGCACATTGATTTCCATTGGGCCCCTGGGCAGAACTCCGTACAACAATTCAGCTGGCGATGCATTGCGTCTCCGCGTGCGGCGCGTGTTGATGGCGAAAAGTGCTCCCACCAACAGATGGTCCCAACAATCTCCTTCGCACATTTTCCTTAAACGCACCAAGACCTCCTGATTACCCCGTTCGATCCTCCCATGTGATGGAGGGTAATAAGCCGCCGACCAGCTTCGTCGGATTCCCCATTTTTCGCACAAAGTCTGAAATGCACCATAAAAGTGTGCCCCATTGTCCGTATGTACTTTGTGCGGGATTCCAAACTTTAAGATAATCTCATTTACCACGAATTCCACGGTGGCAGCTGCGGTCGCGTTGGGATATGCTCGGGCTGTCATATAGCCCGTCATTCCGTCAATCGCTGCTATGATGCAACGGTTTCCAGCTGGCGTCACCGGCATGCCCACTATCCAGTCGATCTGGACCCACTCAAACGGTTGCCGCGCAGCCACCGGCACACGATTTCGTGAGGCCTTTCGAGGCCCATGTTGCGCGCAGCGCATGCACTTATCAACCCAGGCGGTGACATCACCTTTCAAAGTGGGCCACCAGAATGCCCCTTCTAGGCGCTTCATCGTCACCTCTTTCCCATAGTGGCCCCCAAGTGCAGAATCGTGGGCTTGTCGTAGGGCCTTTGGTACTTCAGCCTCCAGAAGGCAGATCGTATAGGTGCCACCTGCCATGCGCTTGAGTAGACGTCCGCCTTCCACCTTAAACCCTTCAGTTGAAAACACTTCCCTCATGATGTCCTGATACCACTCAGAACTCACAAATCGCTGAATCCCGTCAGTGGGAATTGCTGCCATCTCATCCTCCGGATCCATGCCTACTTTACCATCACACATCTCCACGCGTAGCTCAGGGCATCTAGACAGGTCATGAGACGATTCACAGGCCATCTCATCATCCACTGCTCTGGCCCAGAACTGAAATTCATCATCATCTAGTTCCTGAGCATTTGGTGCGATTCCAGCTGCATTTTCTGCCATCATTCTGGACATTCCGTCAGCGTTGGAATGTTTCTGCCCTTTGCGCGACTGGAACTCAAGGTCATATTCTGCAAGTATGCATTTCCAACGCGCACATCTCCCAGTCAGATCACGTTTTCGCAGCAGCCCCAAAATCGGGATGTGATCGGTTCTCACAACTGTGGTCCGGCCTAATATATATGGCCGGAACTTCACCACAGCCACCACCACTGCCAACGCTTCACGTTCAGTCACAGAGTATGCCCGTTCAGCACTCGTCAAAAGTCGTGAGTGGTAATACACTGGGTGCTCACTGCCATCCAGAAGTTGGGAAAGTACAGCCCCCACCGCATCGTTACTCGCATCAGCATCCACAATGAAAGGGCGGTTGTAGTCTGGTTTTGCCAACACCGGTGCATGGGTGAGGGCCGACTTCAGCTCCACAAAGGCCCGCTGGTGCGCATCGTCCCAGATCCGCAGCTCCGCACCCCGTCGCTCTGGCGTCACCTTGAGCAACTCGGTTAGTGGCTTGGAAATCTGGCCAAAGTTCTTGACAAATCTGCGGTAGTAACCAGTCATGCCAAGGAAACTTCGCAGCTGTGTTTTGGTGACGGGAATTTCAAAATTTTCCACCTTTGCCACCTTGTCCTTTAGCACCGCCATGCCCTTTGCGGAAAGGGTGTGCCCCACGAATTCCAGCTGCTCGAATCCAATAAAGACCTTCTTAGGCTTAAGTTTCAGCCTGAATTCCCGGGAGCGATCCAGGAATGCGCGCAAATCCCGAGTGATGCTGTCCTCCCCCGTGTGTCCAATGCCCCCATCGTCCACGAACGTTCGCGTTCTTTCCAACCCACCATATGCCCTTGCTACCAGGCGGCTATATCGCGGGGGAGCATTTCGAAGCCCGAAGGGCAGCACGGTCCATGCATAAATACCGAACGGTGTGAGAAAGGCTGTAAGGGGGATGGATTCAGCGTCAAGTCCCATGGCGTAATACCCACTGAACCCATCTACAGTCGTGTAGAGGGGGTACCCGGACAGATCTTCCACAACTTCATCGATCCGGGGAAGGGGGAAGCGATCAGGGACGGTCGCTTGGTTTAATGCAACGTACGTACAACAAAACCGCATGTCCCCCCCTTTCTTCGGTGGGAATGTCACTGATGATAACCACTCACAATCTTTCTCCCACTTCATGATCAACCCTGCACTTTCCAAGGATTCCAACTGGTTTTTCATGAATTCCAGTTCCTTTGGCGCAAATCGCCGCTGAGCACCACAATATACAGGAGTCGCCCCCTCTTTCAATTGGATATGGAAGGTGGCAGCAGGTGTTCTCTCCAAGTCCAAATAGGACACAGCAAAGCAGTCCTTGTACTGCACCAGCAAATCACATACTTCCCTCACCACTGTTGACGATAACGTGGGGCCGAAATGAACTTCCGCCAGCCACTCATTTTCCACATCGTCCATAATTCGGGGGAGGCCTGCCAATCGCGCAGGGGCGGTACCGTCTTCCTCAAACGATGTGTCACTGTCACTTTCCAGGTCGAATTGTGCCAGGAGCCCTTGAAGGACGCCATCAGCGTCCCCCTCGTCACTGCTGGAGGTCTCTGGCGTATCGCTCTCCACGCCCCTCTGTTCACGCACTGGAACACTACAGGGCAGTACTTCCAATTGGCGGCCCCTCTGGCGCACCGTCACCTTCCCATGGCCCAGGGTATATGTGCGGGTCGCAAAATCAGCAGTACTGGCGGTGTCACCTAGCCAGTCTTGCCCCAGAAGCACATCATATGCTCCCTTTGCGTCAACGCGCCTTCCGGTCAGTTCAGCGTCCACCCCCTCCACCGACACTTTGATGGGCCCCCTTAACGCGTGTACTTGCTCGCGCTGCCCGTTGGCTAATTCGATGTGCGGCAAACGTACCGCCGATGCCCCCAGTCCCAGCTTGTCAGCACACGCCTTGTCGACGAGCGAATGCGAGGACCCAGGGTCCAAGATTACGCGCTTGACACTCCGCCCGTTCAAAGTACATCGAGCATGTACTCCACATGATTCGTGCGCTGCGCGCCCTCAGGGCGCCGCCCTGCCTCCGTGACCTCACCATCCCCCACTTCCATGGGCTCACCGTTCTCATCAAGATTCTGTACTGCCTCCAGTGCTTTACCCTTACGCCTCTTGGTGCCGAGCTGGTGCCGAATCGCTAGCACGAGCTGCGTGTACACCTCGCGTTTTGATATCCCACGCATCATGCACACGGGTATTTTGATCATATCGCCCACCAAGTCCCGCCAGTCGTCCTTTAGCACTGGCTTACGGCGCGGTTTCCGCGGAGCGTCCCCCTTTTTCCGCTTGCGCCCATCAGCCATCCGCGTGACAGGAATATCCTCTTCATCACTCCAAACGGGCGGGCAGCAGCTGTCACTCCCCCCCTCGGAATCGTCCCCGTCAGCGTTCACAAATGCATCAGATTCCCCGTACGCCAGACGCCCAAACCTGGCCGGTGCCCGGTCTGCATCCGCGCCTCCGCGCGCGCCCCTGGAGCCCCCCACCGGACCGCGCGGCGCGGCGTTCCGTGGGTGAGGACAATCCCACTGCCCGTGGCCGAGCTCGCCGCAGTTCCAGCACTCGCGCGCGCGCCACCCCGCTGGCGGCGGCCTCCTCGCGTCCGCTCCGCCACGTGCATCGCTGGGCCGCGCCATCCCTCGCGCCATCCCGCGACCCCCCGCCGGATGCACGTCCCTGACCCGCTCGTCGGCGTTCGCGTTACCAGCCAGTCGGCCCCCCGAGCCTTGCCGGTCGGCGCCCCGCTTGGTCGCGCGCGCTTGCAGCGCCCAATCCCCGATTGCTTGCAAGAGATCCTCCCTCACATCCCCGGTGCCGCGTTTTTCGTGCATGGTGTCCAGCACATCTACGTCGCGGGCGGCATTTTCCTTGCGCATTGCCGTTCGCGCTGCATCCTCCAGGCCCCTATACCCAACGAACCGTACGGCCTCGCGCAGGTCGGCGCGCAGACCTCCAACCCACGCCCTGTACCAGGCATCCTCGGTCGCTTCATCAGACCGGGACACCAATTCGCGGAAACGGCTAAGGTACTCTTTGACCGTTTCCTTCCCACCTTGCCTGAGACTCTTCAAAGAAGCGTTGATACGCTCCTCAAGATCGTCCTCCGTAAAGCGTTCGATGAATTTCTCCTTCACCTCTTCCCATCCCCGCTCTCCGTCCTGCATCCATCGACCCAACGAGCGCGCCCACCGTGCAGCCTCTCCTTCCACACAAACGGTGAGTAACGCGATCCGCTGCGCGTCCTCAAAGATAGCAGACGCGACGCATACTCCCTCAAAATGGAGCAGCCACCCCTCCGCATCTTCACCACCCGCCTCCCCAGAAAATGGGCGGGGACGGATCTTCATGGCGCCCTCCTTTGGCGCTCCTCAGCGCGCCGTGTGCTCTCACTCCGCTTCCGCGCCCGTCCCGGCGATGGAACCAAAAACTGTCGCGAACGGGCGGCTCAAATTGGCACTGAGCCTTTGGGCTGCGGCGACCCAGGGGGTACGGGAGGCATTCACAATCGGACACGCGAGGAAGGACAACTCTGTCGCACACGAACCGAACCCGTTCTTACAGATGGAGTGAGTGTTATTTATAGCTTGATGATGTGACGGTTCAAGAGTTGCTGTATCCAGAATCCTCACTCTGGCCACTTTCACGAGCTGGCCGGGTTCGTGTCCCTTTCTCATGCCAAGTTTCTATTCCCGCCGCCCATACCAACTATGATCCATTGCCAACTAGCCCAGCAGCTACCCGCGTACACTACCCACTCCACTCTCCCTCACTCCCACACTTCCTCAGCTCCTATTCCCGCCGCCATCCCCAACTATGATCCAATCCCAAAGCCGTCCCCGTTCATTCACTACAGCCAATTCCCCTTAACTGGCTCCCCTATCATACATACAACCCCACTCCCCACACACACCCGTGTTGGGCTGAATCATGAAATGCATTATCTTGTGAATGCACTGGTGCTGGATGTGGCTGCGCGGCGGACAACTGCAGGAGGTGCAGCCAGAAACACACAAAGGGAGGCCACCGCCATGGGCCATCGAAGTCACCGGGCTCTGGCGCTCGTCTTGTCCATGGCTTCCAGGGGCGGACTGCTGGCGCGGCCTTCGCCCGTGCCCGCCGCCAGGCGCTCCGCGCTCGCGTCCCCCGCCCATCCCGCGCCTCGAAGAATGGGCCGACCGGCGGACGCCGACGGCGGATTTTGCAGCGGGGCGCATGCGCGTGGTGCCCCGGTATGTGGAGCGCTGTTTGCAGATCTCTTTTGAATCGGAAAGAAAGGGCGCCACGCAAAGGGGACCGCAATTAGCGGAGGCGAATCTTGGTGGGCTCAATCCATGGCAGGGGGGATGTTGGGGAGTTGCGGCCGCAGTGCGGGTGGCACGGGGATGAGCAAAGGAACCAGGATGGGCCCGGTCGGTCAGGGAGTCGATCCAGAGGGTTCTGCAGAACGTGCCGCAACCTCTCATCCTGTCTTTGTAGATTCCACATCATCTGCCATACAATCAGCCATAGAATCTGCCAGAGACTGGAGCAGAGCCTCGTATGATTTCTTCATGAGGGTGTACATTGTCTGACGTGCTTCCCCCTTCGCTTTAGTAATGAATCACGCAGGAACTTCCCCACATCTGGGTCTAATGATATGCGCGTATGTGAATGGGGAAGTTCTGTACCACCACGCAGATGGCCTTTACAAAAACGAGGATGAAATTCTGGCAAAATGCCGACTGAATGCCAACACTGGTGTGGCGAATCTGCTGGAAGCATCGAGCATTCTGTTGCGGTTGCTCCAAATTGTGTGCCCTGTCCCACAATCTCCATTGTGTCCTTGCCAAACCAGGCTCTTTGTACACTGAGACAGGGGATTTGTTGCAACAAGGAAGAATGTCATACAATGGGCATGCTGGGCCCTCTGTATGACATGGTTCTCAGTTTCGTTGACTTGAATCCCTACCTCTGGGTGCAGGTGCACTCCTCTGTGCATAAAACAGCCCCTGAGACGGGATCCCCTGGAAAATGTACCAACCACCCAGTCTTAGTGCTGAAATCTGTGTCTTTTGGCAGTAGTTATTGGGTATAGGGGCACACGGCAGCTGAAACATTTTTCCTTTCTCTTCTTCGTTTCTTTTATTTTTTTCTTTTTTTTTGGGGGGGGGATGTGCAAGGTGTGACATATCCCTAGGTGGGGAACTTTTTATTGGACAGGATACTTTTGTCTACTCTTCTGTGACCCCAGCTCTGTCTTCAGGAACCCTATGTGATTGCCAAGCTGGACAATGCTGAGGAGTCGTACAATGAACTACAGGTGAGGGATCAAGTCTTGGTCCTCAGCAGCATTGTTTGTCGTTGTCAATCTGCACAAGGGCAGCTTGAGTAGAATGTCTCTTTGACATTGAGCTCTTACTGTGTCCAATAGGCAAGAAATGTTGCCTTAGGTTGTGATTACATCAAACTCATGCACCCTCGTGCAGCAGAAGGTATGACACACCCAATACGAGAACCCAGTAACTGCTTGGAATGCATGGCAGGCACACTTTCATTGGTGTTTCATTGGTGGAAGGTCTGTATTTGCATATTAGATTGCACTTCAAGGCAATAAAGCTTCACTGCACGTGCACTTAAGTAGACAAGCTTCCCTGTGTTTTCTGAACTCTTGGGCACCCCTTTCGTGCTTGAGGAGAGGATTTCTGCACCCCAGTACCACAAAGTGAACTATCTGCATCCCATTGACTGGCACTGGCCAGGTTGTTCAGATGCCTGCCACACTGGGCTAAGTTGCCTTGCTTCTGAAATGGGTCTGACTGTACTGCATCATTGCAATATGTGTCCTGGACGGTAGGGGGAGCACCCCTGTCATCATGCTCTTTTTGTTGTGCACATTGTGAATCAAGGTGGAGATGTCGTCCCAACAGAACAAATGCAGCCCTTTTGTCACTGTCACAGAAAATGTAAGGCAATGCTATTCCCCAAAATGTTTTTTTTCTCAAATATTGATTGTATTTGCCCTGAAAATATCAGGACTGTGCTTTGCCAGGTGTCAAAAGAGACCTGGTTTCAGACGAAGCACTGCCCTGGTATCTTTTTGGCAATGTTGGTCTTTTACCTCCAGGCACAATGCTTTTCCATATTGAAATGGTAATTCGTTCGCATGAGAAATTGTTTGCCCTGGAAGCAGAGTGTTAGAGTGCGAACCCAAAGAAATTGAACATTGCCAGGAAACCTGCCAGATGGCACATCATCGCAAATAATATTGGTGTTGCTTAAGGCAGGTATAGCATTCATTTCCCACATATGCAAGTGCACCACTAGACTCAGTTTGAGTAACAATGCCTGGAATTGAGCCAAAGGCGTCAAAAAGAAAGCCAAGAAAAGAAAGACTCAGTGTTCTTTCCTCCACTGTTGAACAGTCAGACCTTGGAGACATTGTGTGCCCTGCCTCAATGCTGCCACGTCCTTGTTTCGGTCATTCCAAGTGGAGGCCATTGAGTGAGGCGCAAATGGAAGTAATCATGCCACCAGTGGATGCTACCAAGAAACGAGAATCTTTGTGATATTGCACCCTGGTAAAAGAGCAGGCAAGTTTGGGTGATTTCTGGTCAAGCAACAGTCCATAACAAGCATTGCTTGGCAAGAAAGGACAGCACTCAGTGGACCCTTCTGACACGTTGTCTGTTGAAAAGGTGGTGTTTCTGATAAGCAAGGGAATGCGTTATGCAAAAGGTCCTCCAATGCTGAGCAAGAATTTAGTAGGACCTTTCTTCCAACGATGTACGATTCACCTGGATTCTCTGCAGTGCATGCCTGGCACCCATACCCTGAAATGTACTTTTTGAAACCTTTGGTATTGTTGAATTCTTTTGAATATGATGCACAAGTTAGGGAAAAGAAAAACACTCAATAAAGCACACAGCAGATGACAACACATGTGAGAACACAAATAGCACTCAAGGGGAGTCTATTGGGGGAAGGCGAAGCGCACCCTGCCTTACTGTTGTCTCTTCCTGTGTTTTGAGAGGCGATTGGCAGACCCTGAGGTCACATGCGACCCAGCCGAGCTCCAAAAGACGGCAAAGGCGGCATCAGAGCTTGAGGAGCTGGTGGTGGCCTACAGGGCGTTCAAGCAGACAAGCAGCCAGCTAGAGGAGGCGCAGGAATTGCTGAAAGATTCTGGCGGTCAGTATATTCTTACAGTGTTTGATCGTAGCTGTTTTTGTTGCAGGCTGTTCAATGCCACGTCCTAAGTTCCTGCAACACTTGGGCAACCCACTCCCCATCTTCCACAGCCATCCCCACCTTCTCTTTTCACACCCCTGTGCTCTGGCAAGAATGATCTTGGATCGTGGCGTTTCTATCGACATAGGTGTTTTTCCTATGCAAATTTTTTGTCCCGGATGAGTTGTGTCTGCTTGCTGCTTAACTGTCCTAATTATGCACAGCACAGAAAGTGAACATGTCTGTCAATCAGTGCATGCCACCTGCCAAAGCATGTCTCTCTTGTAGGTTAGCTTCCTGGTTGACAACACAGACGTGCATGTATGGCGAAAATCCAACAAGGCAGTGACACTAAAGGCTTAGGACAATATTACAACACCAAGTGATACAGTACCACACTAGCACACAGATGGTGCCTTGGATGCCAGATAACAGTTTCCATTAGGGATGTAACACTGGTGATGGGGTGCTGTCCCACTGTGTGGCAAACTGAGAAACGCTTGTATTCATTTGGGTGTCCAGGTGATCCAGAGATGTTGGAGATTGCGCGTGACGAGATCGCGACACTGGAACCTGTGGCAGAAGAGCAAGAGAAGAAACTCAAACTGCTTCTACTCCCTGCTGACCCCTTGGACCAAAAGAGCATTGTCCTGGAGGTGGGATGCAAGGAAAAAGCAAGCACCCAACACAGTTCAGATGTCATCCTGGAAAGCATCTTGTTCAGCTTCTTTATGTTTCCAAAATGTGTGACATACTTCTGAAGTGAAGTAATATTTTTCTATTTGGAATAGAAAACCCGAAAACCATCATCCCAGCAAGCTGGCAGCACAGCACTTCGAGAATGCAGAAAAATGGTAGGTTAGCTCATTCTATATGTATCTTTTTAGGCTGCACTGATAGTTGGCTTTTTTTGCCAAACATCTTTTGGAGGAGTGCCAGTGGCAAATACAACTTGATAGAGGATGTGGCAAGAATGGTGCTCTTGTGATCCAAGATGCAATACATGTCCAATTATTACTGTTCATGTGGAAGCAGCATCTGCATATGTGGAATCAACGGATGCAACTAACCTTGCTGTGGGGCGTGCCACAAAAATTCCAACAATCGATTCCATGTTTTTAAGTGCATGACCTCCATCGTCTCACTGCAAGTCTCCCACTATTGTCAGCCCTGCTGCCTTGAGCAGATGCCTCTTTTCCATGCACTGTGAGGTCTTGCAGACTGCCAGAAAAATTGCTGCTGTTTTCATGAAGCAGACATGCAACTTGACCACGCATTCCATGTGCAGGTGAGGGCGGGTGCAGGCGGCGATGAGGCTGCTCTGTGGGCAGGTGACCTCCTGCGGATGTACGAGCGCTATGCAGACGAGATGGGCTGGCGGGTGTCCACTCTGAGTATCAGCCCTGGCGATGACGGCGGTATAAAGGAGGGCGTCATCCAGATCAAGGGCAAAATGGTGTACAGCAAGTTGAAATTCGAGGGCGGCGTGCACAGGGTGCAGAGGGTGCCCGCTACAGAGTCCGCCGGGAGGGTGCACACATCGACGGCCACTGTAGCCATCATGCCAGAGATCGACGAAGTCACAGTGCAGATCGACCCAAAGGTGAGGACTGTCGTTTCGATGAGAGGGAAGACCTGTTGTACGTTTAATACCCCTGTCATCTGCAAGAACGGACATCCCAAAACAAGGAAAAAAACGATGCAACGAGCATTCTTGAGGTTGTTTGCAGTGTGCAGAAGCTGGTGCAGGAGGACTTGCGCACAGTGAGAATGGCCTGCAGCACAAGAGCGCAGCACATACAGCAAACTGCTGTCTCTTGCAAACCAACGCACATTCCAACATGCCAACAAACCAACAGTCAGCTGGCCCATCACTGCATCAGACACAAAATCAAATTGACGTTTAGCAAAACCGACAAGCAGCCTGGCAGCAGGTTCCATGCGCGCACTTCAACTTGCACCTTTGTACTCCATTGTTGTTGCACCCATGAGTCTTGTGAGTCCCAGGTTCATTCAAACTAATTCCAATTCCTCAATAATGCAGACAGGGAAGGATAACTTGAGCAAACTCCGTGCCAGAATATATGCCATTCATGACAGAGTTGCTGACAGTCATAACTGTGCTGAATGGTGTATGAACTTTGCGCTAGTGCTGTGAATGCAGCCATTTATTCATCAACTTCAACGAATGCTGCTTCTGCTGTGCACCTTTTGCTCGCGTTCCTCTTCTTCTTGCATCCTTGATGATAAAGTCCGTGCTTTCTTGACTCCAATGCTGCTGAACCCAGGATGTGAAAGCATCAAATGGACTCATTTCAACAGGTTGGACAAGAAAGATTTGGTGGCGGCTTGTTGCAGGACATTGAGCTGACGACAGCGCGAGCAAGTGGGGCCGGCGGCCAGAATGTGAACAAGGTGGAGACAGCAGTGGACCTGGTCCACAAGCCAACAGGCATCCGCATCTTCTCCCAGGCTGAGCGCTCGCAGCTTAAGAACAAGGAAAACGCCTTCCGCATCTTGAGAGCAAAGTTGTACGACCTGGAGGTGCAGAAGCAGAGGGCCAAAGTGTCGGCAGAACGAATGAATCAGGTGAGGCAATCCATTGGAGGGCATCTTGCCAAAGCATGAAAAGTGTCTTGGGAGAGCGAATCGTGTGAATTTCTCCTCACGCATGTCATGCCAATGTGCAGTGGTCATGTTGTGCGCCGTTGCAGACGTGGGGCGCTGCAAGCAGTGTCGACAAATGTATGACAAATGTGGAGGCAGTCAAACGAGGCGGGTGGTTTTCAGCCGGCTATCCAGGTTCCTTCACCAGTGTGCGTGCCAAGAACGCAACAGGGTGTTGCTCATTCACCTCAGCTGAAAGCACTTTCATCGGCGAACAAATGTCCTGACACACAAACTGTCGAGTCCTGGAGCCCCCCACTCATCGACGCCCTCACCTATGCTGACGTTTGCGAGGACTCAGCCTGCAACCCCAGTGGCTACTCGTTGGTCTACGGTCCAAAATGCAGCATCCAACCGAGCGCAGCAAAGTACTGCAGTGTACCAATCCCTGCATCCGCGCTGCCTGAAAGGGATGTTGCTTTCAAGGCACTGCCTGCCACTTGTTGTGTGATGTCCAACTGCCTGAGCTCAGCGCTGCCCAATTAGCTTCCCCGCTGTCCAGGACGACGCTCGGCTTGAATCGCATTTGATGTGAACTCCTGTACATGTCCCGACATGTACAAACATGCTGGCCATCGCCCTTTTGCAGTGTGAAGCCACACAAGAGAATGGACATCGAGCGCGCCTCTGCATCATATGCTGTTACGTGCTCGTGGCCGCTCAGTTGCCACCACTCTGGGATACGGGCAACACGCATTTGTGCACGCGGCGCCCCCAGTGACCATGGACCGTGGAGAAAAGATTTGCTGATGCAGGAGGCCGGAGGCCGGCGGTGGAATGTTGTGCCAGAAGTGTAGCGCTTGTGAACGCTCGTGTATTTCACGTGCTGCCCCCCGTGATGATTGCGCCAGTCTCTCCAAGCCGTCGAATGGTGGGAAATTCCCTCACCCTGCTCCTGTCTGTTGCTCGTCCAGATCGGCAGCGGAGAACGGTCAGAGAAGATTCGCACGTACAACTTCAAGGCCAACAGAATGTCCGACCACCGGTTAAAACAGAACTACGATTTGACTCGGGCGTTGGGAGGGGACCTGGAAGAGTGCGTGGCCGCATTGGTCGCCCTGGACCAGCAGGACCGACTGAGGGAAATGGCGGAAAGCTCAGGGGAGGCTGTTGCTGCCAGGGTTTGACACGTGCATATCGATAGCAGAGCGCACATTGTGCGCATGTGCAGCTGCTTGTTGTGGCCCTACCTGGACGCTCGCTGCTCTGTTTACAAGCCAGTGCGGGCGAGGCGGCGCCTGGAGGGATGGGGTGGCAAGACGAGCGTCGAGTGGTTTGAAAGAGAGTACCTTCAACTTTTCAACTTGGGAAGGATAGGATTCTGCGAATTGCATGGCGGCACTGGGCGGCCGGGGGCGGAGCGCATGAGCTCGGCGTCCAAATAGGGTCTTCCCTTCTTCCCACGCATGTTGGCAAGCAATTCATCCTGGAAATCTCCAAAGCTGTACAGATGTGTCCCACCACTGGTATGACGACGTTGTTGTGTTCGTTTCGTACCATGGCCAGATGGTGACAAATTTCTGGGCCTTGCAGGGATTCCGCCAGCGTCAATTGGCTCGATAACATGGACGACTGAATATGCACCTAGTCTTCCTTCTTCTCTCCCGATCGTTTCAAGGCTAGAAGGTCAGTCCAGACTTGACGTTCTGAAAAGTACATGAGACCAACAAGGGCTGCAGCACAGGCCGCACCAACCGCAATATGAACGCAGGCCTGCTGAGCGAATGATGAGAGGAGGCGAAGGTCGAAGATCACATGTCGAGACGCCTCTGCGACGAAAGCCGCCGCCAAGGCGCCAAGCAATGTAGCCATTCTCGGAACAAATGAAGTCCACGAAAACGATGGGACACCACGGAAGTAGCCCCCAATGCACCTGCAGAGCAACACAGTAAATTGAAAATCCAGTTGCTGCCAATACTGCGTCGAGCTGCTCTCCCTGCAGATTGAACAATGCGAATGAAATATGCCTTATCGTCGCGCTCGCCATCTTGCTTCCGTTCTTATAGCGGTCTACTGCCGCCTTCCACTCATGATTTGGAGCAAGGGCAAATCTGCCGTTAGGACGGGGGGACCTGATCTGTGCGAAGTACCGTATTTACCCGGTATTAGTAGGCACCCCCTATTAGTATCCACCCGCCCCTTTTGGGGTCGAAACCACGTTAGTATCCATGACCCGGTGCTAGTATCCACCCCCAAACCTCAACAGAGCAGAAACGACAGAAGGCGCGGATGGTGGCAAGGGAAGTCAGGGGCTGGTGTAGGGCCGCATTGCAAAGTCTGGACCAAAACGCGTTTCCCTGCGATTCGCACATCCACGGAGACGATCGGGTCGGGGTGGATGTTGTCGAGGGAGAATTTGGAAGGGTGCGGGCGAAAGGCCGCATGGTCGACTGGCCGCCGTTGGCGTTCTCAGCGCAGGATCGCAAGGCAGCCACCGACGCCCCAAGGCCCGATGATAGAAGCGGTCGAGAACTCAAAGCCGCCCTGGTTTTTGGATTGAGCCAACCTGATCCCCAGCCGGCCAGAGCAGGTTCCGGCCCGGCGCCTGCCACGGGCCCCGCAAGGCCCAGCGCCAGGAATGGGCAGGCGACGGCATTGGTCAGGGCAACTGCCGTTGCGAGACCCCGCCTTGCAAAACTAAAGCACTTCGAAGGTGGGGTAAAACACAACTCACTGGCTACCAGGCCACACACCCAATCACAGATCCCGTCAGCCTTTCCAGCCGCCATCAATGAGGGAAAATGCCGCGTGTCAAGCATCGTCGCGACGTGGTGCCCCAGCGAGTCGAGACCCATGTCAGGCCTTGTTCTTTGCATTGCAGAGGCAAATGCGCCTCGAGCATTCCAGCGAACCTCTGGCGGCCCCAATCGCCAGTCGCCACCAGCTGGTGCAGCCCCAAGTCAAGGCCGCCAGCTCCTGTGAAGAGGCTGACAACATTCCGCACTAGCATCGCCATTTTTGTCCATTTTCGGCCATTTCACGGCCTGTCTGTCAAAAATTTTCTTTGTCTACTCTTTGGAAACAGGGGTCCAAACCGCGTTAGTATACATGACCCGCTATTAGTATCCACAGCTCATTTTGGGGGCCCAACACATGCCTACTAATACCGGGTAACTACGGTACGCGCATTTTGGAACAAGAACAGTGCATCAAACCCAAAAGGGCATCGATGGCAGATACGACATGAAAGTGTTGGAATTGAGGAGTGGCATCCAGTGCAAGCACATCCACGAACATTGCGAGCGACTTATTCCAACAACCCAATTTCGATTCAAGGAGTGACTGGTACAACTGTCACTCAACGGACAAGGGACAAGGCAAGAGAACATAAGGAGGAATTGGTTCTAAATTGTGCAGCCCCGCACTGCACGCTTCGATCCCTGCTTCAAATCCATTCATGCAACATCGGATGAGGTTTCCAACACTGCTCCAATTCAGTGGGTGCGATTCACTGCTGTGGACATATTTAGGAGATTGAATGGCACCGAACAGAGGCATACCATTTTCTTGAGCTGACGTTCCACGTGACCTGGTTCACAACAACGACAAGCAAATCCTTGGGGAAATGTGTTATTTCCTCACCTGAAGGAATAAGCTATTCTCATGGCCATGTTGAGTCCATCGGCCAACACCAGCCCACAGGAGCCCCAAGTTCTGACGAATGCCACGCTGATGGCCACATGCACGAGCGTCACAGCAATCATGAACACGTTGGACCATCCGAGGCCCTTCACGTCAAGCACGGCATGCGTGAAGGCTTCAGTGATGCCTGGCCAGAAAACACAAGTAAACAATCGGCCAAAATACAGGGTTTCGAACCGTGTAATAATCGTGCAAAACCGTGCCGAACGTGTAAAAATCATGTGCACTCACTCAATCGTTACTACGCCGTTTGGTCCCATTTATACAATATACGATAAATGCACGATTCAAAACGATTTTTACACGATTTTCAACCGCGCTACTCGGTGCACGGTTTTCAAAACCGTGTATTTTGGCCTGTTGATTTACTAGTGAAAACCCAGATGAATGTTCAGGCTCTGTGACCAAAGGCGACGTCCAAAGCCCCGCCTATGAGGTCCATTGCTTCCTTTGGTGCATCGAACAGCAAAAAATGTGACATGCAACTCGAATCTTGTGCTGCTCCACACAAATCGAAAGGAACGTGGAGCTGTGCCCATCAGCAGCCTTGCGAGTACCGACAGGATCGTCTGATACGTATCCTTACCGTATATGAAGGCCATAAAGAGGTCATGAAGGTAACTAGGAACCTCAAGCCCGAAACAGCCTTCATGATCTTCATGACCTTCATGATCCTCATGCCTTCATGACTGCTAGATTTCATGACCTTAACGGCCTTTATTACCTTCATGATCTCATGTCCGGAAATGAAGGGCATTGGACATTTGTGAGCATCTACGGCAGAAGAATGTTCTCTCACAAGAGAACCAATCAAAAATCGCGCCCCGTTTCTTCATATGGACGATGGGAATCAGGAATACGTAATGGACAACAATTCAAGTGCCCAGTCACGACCATTCTTGCAGCTTAGATACCGTTGTCTAAATGCGTCGATTATGTACAGGTCCGCCTTGTTCAAACTACCCCATCATCCTCTCCACAGTTCCGAAAAATCACCTACCATTGATGGCTAACAGTGGGATATAGCCGCAATACAATGCAAGGACGGTCGGCGCCTCTGTGGTGCTCCATTTCGTCGAGTACACAATGCGCAGGAAGAGTTTGGAGTATGACGGGCCAAAAGTGATGGCCATTGTGCCGATAAGGGAGACCCCTCGTACGAGGGCTGCAAGCAGCTTCACGAGTCGGCCCATGCCCTGCTTGTCACTCCGCGACACACCCGACCTGGTTTGCAAAATGCATTGAGCCAAAGTTAGGATCCTTGTTGCGCAAAGGTTTTCCTTCTGCTCTGGCCTTACAAACAGCACTCAATGTCTGGCAGCCAAAGGCCATGCCTTCCTGCTGTTGCAGTCCTGCTGGTGCAGAACACAAGATTAGAGATCGCCGAGTCTCGCCAGCCAGGCCTGCATGTGATACAGCAGAGGTGAAGCGACATGAATATCAATGCCTGCACAGCAGCTCTTGTATCATTTCTTGATGGCGGTTGCATCGCTGTGTATTCGCATAATAGCTGTGTAGTAAATCGTCTCAGCGAATGATCAAAATACGATCTTGCATTTCCCTGACAACTACACAGCACCAATACAAGACTTGTTCGCAATCGAATTTGTGCAAGCATTGCTTTTCTACTCCTGCACGCAGCCTAGGACCGCAACAAATGATAGCAACACACCACACAGCCCAAACAGCCTCTTAGTACATGTGCTTCATTGCCACATGCAAGATACACATCCAACACTGCATAGTGTAAGTGTACCGGAGTGCAAGTGCAAAGCAGTGTGAAAACAGAATAAGTTTTACACACCAGTAACATGCCTGCTGAACGCTGTAAAGGCAGATTCTTCAAGGGGCTGGAACAGCAGTCTGACCACCAGGGAGCCAAGATTATTCACTAGACCATAAACCCCCTGGTGGTACCAACTCTCCACAGAAACCAGCACAAACTTTGAGCCTTCTGCCAGAAAATGCTTCACAACCTGCGGGAAATGAGCACACAGAATCAATACAAACACCAACAGCCATAGCGTCTGACTTCCGAATGGGAGCCGCTGGTGTTGCTGATTGGTGTCTATTTTACAGCTTGATGCTCATGCAGATAAACATGTCAGCTCTTCATGAGACAATGCATTTGACCAACAGCGGCATTGAAGACTCCAGACATGCGGCATGAAACATCGATTATGCAAGCTGCGGGCAACATGCGTGTGTCGTTTGCCCATCAATTCACTTTCCTATCAGGCCACCAATGGAAACAGAGTGCATTTTGTGCCTTGCTTCTGAGCAGGGCAATTCACATGGTATAATGTACACCAAGTGTCTTCTTGAACTTCTGTTCAACTGCAGCTATAAGTGCAATGATGCAAAGCGGAAATGTGTGGGCGCAGGGGCAGTGCACAACAGAACACTGAGCTGATAAGCTAATTGCAAGCGTGCTATGTGCTCCTTTGGCTGTCTTGTGCGATGAACAAAACGATGCATCTACAAGCTGTAACAAGCACTCTTGACCTCTGCAGATGATCTGAGAATGGCCAAGGGCATCTGAGGTGCCCCGTCTCCACTACGCACTGGCAGCAGGCCAGGAATAGACGGACACTCTGAATCAAGCGCATAGTTCGTTTGTGGTCACATTCATAAGCCACTTGCATCACAGTTCAGGGGATCTGGGCATCAGGCTGTCTTCAGCACGATCGTGGGACAGTTCGTTGTTCTTTCCATGGCAATGATCAGTTGCACGAGGATCCCTGGAAGTATGGGCAATTTGTATGATTTCTGAACAGCAAGCGATGCATGACATAAAAATAAAGTAGTGGTTCCATGCTGGGGAAGGTAAATGTTGGAGAAGGTGCCTTTCTGTTAAGGATGTATTCACTTGAACAGCTTGAGCAGAAGCGCCACCTGATATTCGTTTTCAAGTACTGCTTAATCCATACTCATCTGGCGATATTCGTGTCTCACCAGTATGGCTTGTGTACAGATATGAGACCAGATCGTACTTTCTTAGCCATGTTTTGGGGCGTTGGCCACCAGCAGATGTGCAGATGCAACAACTGCAGTGAGGCAGTGACAGTTTCTTTTACAGTTTGAGTCAACAGTGATTTCCCCACAGATTTGATGGCACTTACTGCTTGAAAGCTGAAAATGAGGGACAGCGACATCATCCCAGGGTCGAAAGTCAGCATCGTCTTCAAGGTGAGAGAGTCACCTGCCTGTCAAACAATGGCACAAAGAATCAACTTCAACCCCACAACTGCAGGAAGCATCTAGCTGGAGGACAACCTGATAGCAAGCACTGCAATGCAGGCAGCGTACCTGTGCAAATGTACCAGCGGTGTGTGACTGTCCATTCAAAATTCGATCGCAATCCTGAAAACGAGCCTGCTTGTGGCCTGCAAGAAGTACAGGATGCCCTAGAATGCCAGGGATGGAAAGCCCCTTTATCCACATTCACTGCAGTTTTCCTGGGGAAGCTTCTGCACTCCAAACAGCTTTCCAGTACTCTGGCTGTCTTGCAGTTCCTGTGCATCTGTGCACATAGGATCATCGCACCTCTTTGAAAATGCGTGGAGCCAAGGTGCCGTAGCCGATGAGCGAGACAACAGCAAAGGCAACCTGTGAGTAAGCGAAAATTGTGGCCCGATTGACCAATGTGAAGTCAAGCAGCAACAGGACAGAAATCATCTTGACCAGTGTTGCAGTCCCCTCCACTGCAAGCCTCAAATCAAAGCGTAGCCAAAGGTGGGCAATAATATACATGGGCTCACTGCAGAGTTCGATGACAGTTGCGACACCTGTCAATCACACAAAGCAGTCTCAACAATATCGAAACCCCTTCGGACCAACACTTGGAGTCAAGCAACAAAGGTCCATTTCAACACAGTAAAAATTGGACCCCGAATATGACCAGGCCATCCCAGTCAGAGTTGGCTGCGCACAGCGCAGTTGATGCCACAACATCTTGCAGATTCTCTGAGCAAAGTACAACACGTCAACATCAGCATTTGCCCTGAGCATATTCTGCAGTGCAACTCTTCATGTCTCAAGCACAAGGCCATGTGGCCAAGGATGTTGGGCAAAAGGGCAGGACCATACACAATAATCCGATGAATTGTTCGAACATGCAATTGGGGTCACACTGTTATGGCTGACTTCACCATTGGTTACACTTTCCCACAGACAAACCAGGCTCTTAGACTTGCAAGGTGATTATGGGAACTCTGCAGTGTTAGTACCCAGAACATGTATGAATGTCTCAAACAGCCTGTCTGCAACATTCGCCAATATGTTAGCCTGTGATGGCACAGCCTTACCATTCAGGACCACAGCATGGCAATATGCACTGCTATCATCACCAGTCTGCGACCAGCATAGGAAGCTGCACACGATTGTGCTGATGACAATGCCAACGGGAATAGGAAGCCAGCAGATTCCCAAAACTCGCTGCAGCTCAAGGGACTCCTGAAAATCACAGCAGACTATATTCAGCTCTTTGTACCAGTATTCTGCTACTCAGCACTTTGTATTGGGACTACAAACCAAAAACTTTGCTCAGTGCCACTCATTGTGTGTTACTTTCCAAAAGATGCACTACAGATCGATGTTTCGAACACAAGGAAGAAGATGGCAGCAAGAAGGCAGCAATGGCAGTTGATGTTGACAACCGTGTGCTGGACATATGCAATGAGCATCAGGTGTCGACACGAGGCAAGAACAACCTCGCCAGTTGGTGTCGAGCAATAGAAATGAACACACTGCATTGGGCTGCTTGTCTTCATGCTCTTGTGACCCATCCTTCCTGAGGCAACCCCTCCTGAAGCCCTCCCTGCTGAGGAAGAGTATTGTTGTTGTGAGAAGATGAAATTGAACGGCGGCCACCTTGTAGAACAAAAGCATAGGGCAGGATATTATTTTCAAGTCCTTGATACAGGCAATTGAACCCCACTATAATTGACTGGCTGATGCAATGGGAGGCAAATCAACACATTGCCAATATAATCTGCAAGGTCGTCATTGGCCACATGCCATCTGTGTGTGAGTCTGATTCAACAAGAGTTTCTCTTACAGCCAACGTGGAAGCCTTGCAACAGTGGGCAAATGCAACTCCAATACATGTATATCCCCCAAATTCGTGCATTCACATTCAATGTCCAACAATTTCTCCATTTATCACCCAACTACAACACAAATAAACGGTGATCAAATGAAATAGAGATGTGGCAACTTTTCAGCGTGTCTCTGCCTCGCTCACCCCATACTCCTCTGGAGACAATCTCCTCACAATCAGCAGGTTGAAGAAAAATGTCAAAAGACGGGATGCCAGTTGCAGGCCTGCAATAGACAATGCCATCTTGTCAGACTCGAATGAAAAACAACTCCCAAACACGCCGGAGGGCTGAAATTGGAGCCATTCAGGTCATCGCTGCACCCACTCGGCATCTTTGAATACAAAGGACGTGCAAAAGAAATACTCTTGTGCGCTGCGTGCCATTCCTATCATGTCCTAAGATTTCTGCATACGCTTCTCAATGTGGATGAATGAATTGCATATCAGGTACAGGTCACATGTGTACGCTGATGTCAGATCATCAGACAATATCAGCTGTCTGACAGTCCACAAGAACCTCACAGTGCTGTGCAGGGCAGGTTCTCACTGTGGAACAGAGTCTGGCAACATTCTGATCAGGGAGTTTCCTTGTGCTGCAGCACAAATCGTCACGCGACGCGGAGGACTGGTCAAACAGGACTAGAGCAGCGGCCGATCGTGGTTCCCTCTGTTTCACCTAGGAGGTTGGTGAACCCCGCAAGCAGGATGCCCAGCTGGTCCGCCATGGCCACCCCCTCCCTTTTCCACGCGTTCTCGTCTGGTGTCCGCGTCCGCGCGGCTCTTCAGCTTGCTCCACACCCGCCCAAACCCCGATAAAAAACACCCATCGACCATCCCTAAAGGCCGGGAATAGGTAGGGGCCCTTGGGGCGGGCTGGGGCTCTTTACCCCTATCTTGGGGCCCGCACAGGGGATAAAGTACGCGCAGCCGGCCACCCGCCGCATTGCCTTGGGCGCGACGCGCACCCCCCACGGAAAGCCGCAACCTCTCGCCCACAACCGGGACCGTCCGACTCCCCATTTTTCGGCTCCGGCCCTCCCCTCGCCGCCTCGCCCTTTGCGGGCTCCCCGCCCCTCGGCCGTGACCGCATCTCTGCCCCCGACCGGCGCCAGTCTCCATCCTTGCCAGCATTTGGACGGCCGATTCCATCGCGACCGCCGGCGGATTGCCCAGCCCGGCCGCAGCGCCCGATCGATCGGGCCCGCCCGCCGCATCCCCGACTCATGGCGGCCGTGGAAGATTCTGCCGGCCCCTCTGGCGATGCCGAGGCGGACGCCGGCGGCTCGCCCGCCCCGTTGGTCGTCGAGTACGACCCGCACACCGGCGTGCCGCCCGAGTTCAACGAGTTCCTGCCGCCGGACTGCATCGAGTACAAGCGGTGGCGCGCGGCGCTGGAGGGCCCGGAGGCCCTGGAGAGGCTGACGCTCAGGGACGATGACGGCAACGAGATCGAGAAGCAGCTGCCGGGGGGCAAGGTCAAGAAGAAGGCCAAGCCGGAGGTGGTGATCGAGACCGCGACGCGCAACAGGAAGAAATCGGTGACCACGGTCACGGGGCTGGATGCCTTCGGGATCAAGCTCTCCGAGGCGGCCAAGCTGTTCGGGAAGAAGTTCGCGTGCGGGAGCAGCGTGGTGAAGTGCCCGTCGGGCGGGGAGCAGATCGACATCCAGGGCGCGGTGCTGGACGACCTGCCAGACTACCTGGTGCACAAGTTCAAGGGCAAGGGGCTGGGGCGGGGCAGCGTGTACGCGGTGGTGGGCAAAAAGAAGCGGAAGTACTACGACGACGAGGACGAGGACGATTTGGACGAGTGATGGGGTTGGGGCGGCGCGTGAGCGCCTTGAGGAGGGGCGGGGGGTTGGGGAAGGGGACGGAAGAGCGGCAAGGGCTTGGATGTTTTCACGCCAGTGTCCCAGGCATGGAAGGCGCGCGGAGGCAGGCCTTTGCCTGGGGTCAGGGAGATGGTTGACCCTTGGGCTGTTGGCGGGGTTGCAGCGGGTCACCCATGGTTTGCGAGGCTGATTGGCTGCTGACAGGTTCATTGGCCTGGGCGTACCTGAATGCCGGCGCCTTGCGAGGTTGCTGGTAGGCTTGGGAGCTGGCGGTGGGGCCCTAGGTACAGCATCCACTGTCCCCATTCGTTGTTCCCTGGTGTGCATTTCCCGGGGTGTCAGCCAGGCGCTCTGTTTTGCAACAATCCGTCGAGAAATGGGACCCCAGCGTGCACTTCGCATTGTACTCAAAATGTAGAGTTTACCGATCGGTTGTGCCTTCTGTGGTGGCTGCATCAGCATTGTGAGCACGGCTCGACAGATGATCGCCGTGTGTATAATGCGTAATTTGGGTACCAAATCACAGGATTCTTCTTGCATCTGGTTGCCTTGTTTGGCGTCTTGCAAGTGATTATTACTATCATCTGTGACAGAAGCATTCCCATATCTTTTTGCTGGGAGGCTGCCTTCCATTGCTTTACTTGCATCCGTGCACTCCCGCAATTTTGCTCTCCTGAGCTGCCAGCAAGCCAAGCATCCCTACGGCCTGTCAACAAGTATGTACTCTGTTCTGCATGGCACTCCAAAGCTCTTTCAGGGGCCATAGGCTCAGAAGAGAATTGAGGAGCCCTGCACAAGGTGATGCACAATCTCTTTGGTTGAAGCCTCAGAAGAGGAATGCAAGCCCAATCGGCATGCTGTAGCAAGGTTACTGGTCAGCGAATGTTTTGAAGTGAGAAAACGTCTCTTCCACAAAGATTGTTGGAAGGGCCGGTGTGAGGTTGCCTTCTGCACATGTCGCTTGTGGTTGCAGGCAAAGTATACTCGGAGTAGAGGCGTGTGAAGCAATGCAAGTGCAATGTGCGTATGTGCGCTGTTGAATTCACTGTCATTCGTGTGCCCAGTAACTCAACAGTCCAGAACATGTTTGCTCAATGGTGACTAGCGTGGTAGCGCTACACCTGATACCCGTCAATAGACAAATGGGCACCTGTTATGCCTTCGTCAGTAGCAAGCGGAACAGGAAAGCACTGTGTGAGAAACACTGTCTGCCAAGCACTGTCTCAGAAACGATAGTTTGGTATGTGAACGGATTTCGATGCTACACGCATTATGGGCCAGTTTCTGAAGCAAGAATGTAGCTGAAGATCGCCACCGCAAAGACCGACCAGTTTGTGAACATTTTATGGGATTTTGCCGGACAAGAATTGAATTGAGTTGGCCAATGAAGGACAAAGCTGTAATCATAAAGAATCCAGCAGAGGGGTTGTGTTTGGCTATCCGCGTTGATTCGCCGTTTATCGCTGTTGGACCTGACTAAACCTGAATAGTTATCTGAAGCTTCTTTCAAACTAGTTGCACATGACTGATGTACGGGCACTGACTGGGTTACACAACAACATGGACCTGTCATGTTTTGACCTGATAGTCGTTCAGCGTTGCTAACAAGCAAGGCAAGGCGAACTAAACATAACGAATGCGAGCACGCTGAGCACAGGCCGGTGAAAAGAACACCCAATATGTCGCTGGGGACGTAGCACACCCCGTGCTGATTGTAAAGCCAGGAATGCTGCCAAGCGGCTTGAGACACCGCCAGGAAAATCGAGGAAGTGTAGCAACTGGGCGCCGTGCAAGTATCACGAGTTGCTAGGCGTGCTTTCTGACGTGAGCCATAGCCAAAGAGGTAAGAGTTCTGCCGAATAGCTCGCAATAGCTCTGCAAAGCTGGTCAATTATCAGGTGCACCTTTGGGATCGAGCTGGTTCCCCGACGAACATGAAATTAACCATCATGTAAATGGGTTTCTGCCAAGGGCGACCTTGGGTGGGCTACGCTGATGATTCAAATCGGCAACAGTTTGAATGGGTCTTGTTCAGACCCGCGCCTTGGGCTTCTGGCCCCCCTAGTACCGTGGATCAGTCAAAGTACGAGACAACCAAGGTGCCGCCAACCTTGGGGCCCTCGGACTTGGCGGGCTTTGGCGGGGCTGAGCGGGGGGGACTATTTAGGCTTCCCCCCCCCCTTGTTTCGCACCCGCCCTTCCGCCCTAGCGGGTGGAGTTCGGTTTAGTTTGCGGATGGAGAGGAGTGAAGGGAGCGAAGTGCGGGATTAGGGAGATGACTCATGAGGTAAGCCACTGCCAGATTGGTGTTAAGTACTAAGCGAAGCGAAGGGCATGTGTGAAGTGTGGGGACCTCGGGTTTTTGCAGTACAATGGTGACAAACACCTTTTTTATATGAGTTCTATAAAGGTTTTGGCATGTGGGGCAACATGATTGGGTGGGCTCAGGGGATCGTTGAGGCGGAAGAATCTGCAACGCGAATGGTTTGGTGCGACCCCAACCCCAACCTCACTGTTTAGAGCCTGCGCCCAGTGTGGTTGCTTGGCTCGTGCGAAGGGTGCCGGGACGGTGGCCGTGAGCAGGCCCGCCCATTGTTTTTCGTGAAGGCAGAAATCAGAACATAGAACATAGAACACAAGAACATTGAACTCATGTTTGAAATTGTAACATCCCATAATCTGACGCCTTGGTGCGTTGGTGTTTGTTCATTGCCAGGCGGTTCGCTGATTGCAGTCCGGAAAGGGGGCTGAAGTTCCAGGCCTCGCAGTACTGCGCAGTACTACCAGTTGTTCGGGTCGCCAGTATATGATCTGAAAATTATGGCAAGCTGGCGACCCGTGAGCCTCAAAAGGTGGTTAGGAATTGGCGAAAACCCATAAAAGTGAAAAAAGGGCTTAATCTCCTACAAAAGGACGAACTTCAGCAATAGCAATGCTGGAAGTCGTGTGGGTATCTCGATTTGCGTCCAATTCTACCAAGATACGGGACACGATACCGATGCCACGGAGGTCCTGTATCCCAGGAAACGACGTGACGCACTGGGTTCCGGGCTCCACCACTTTGGACGTGCATGCTTGGCTCACGAAGCTGCGTCCCCACTAGGAAACTGCTTTCGACAACGCAGCACTGCTGGGAGGATGGATCTGCACCGATCGGCCGCTGCAATGCGTGCCCGATTGGCTCGCACCAGCAATCGGGATCGAGGGCCTGCGAGCACCGATGGCAATCGGTGGGGCCGGCGACGGCTGCGACTCGTGGCGAATCTTTGCCGATGGATCCACTGGCCGGGTGGAGGCCTCGAAGTCTGCGCGGGATTGCAGCTTGCGGAACGCGCAAACGGCAAGAGGTGCCAGTGCTGATGGTGGTGCAGCGCAGCAGCGGTCTCGCGGGACAGGTGACAGGCTTTGGGGGGCCAAATGATGTACCGCTACCGGATTACTCACAGTGGCAGACAGAGCAGCGAACGTGGGCATCCAGCGAAACGTTGCAGGGCTGAGATTGTGCGTCTCAAACGCCTTCCCAGACGGGAAGACTTTGCCAATGTCGGCCGAGCTTTCCATCAAAGGTGATCAACTGGAACTGACCCAAGAGAGGTGGTGATGCGCGCTACAACAAGCTACAACATCTGCAAGGCAATCTACGCAATTGATGAATATGCTGCCAAGTTTCAAGAAAGATGACGGTCAATCTGTGTGATTTTTGTCATTGTGCGACTGGACATTTGTGGAGACTGCAACGAGCCTACGCTGAATACATTGGCAAGTCCGAGATTTGAAGTCCTACTCTAATTTACTGAGGAATTCTCAATATGCTTGTTGGAATAGGTTTGACTTCTCAGTGGTTGCCGTGTACCAAAACACCAACGCTGACGTGGGTTTTCATGCTGATCAATGCACAATTGATTCAGAGCAGCCTAGGGCGATGTGTGATGTCATCGCTTTTCAATTTCTCTGCCTTAGGCAGATGTTCTTCATGTGGTTCTATGAGGCCTGACAGCCCAATAGGGATGCGACCTGCCGCGGATGGATACATCAGGAATCTGGTTGCGAAATCGGTCATGAAAATTGTGGGCTTTTGTTGCTGATGCGCTGGTTGAGTGTATCAGTCCTTGAATTCGATCAAGAATATCACTGGGCTGACCTGCGCCGTGGCAGTGACGTCAAAGCGTTGTTTGTGAGCAGTACATTGTGGTGCCGGAAAAGGGCAGGCGGAGCCGTAGGTGCGAGCTAATATTCCTGCGAATCTTTCAGGTCGCGGCACAGATTCGATTGTGGTGCTGCGCGTGTGCTGGAAAGGTGACGAAAGAGAGAAATGATGTCCACCTCAAAGTTGCAAGGGGGTTATGTGAGGGCTAGAAGAGCATCCTGCGAGGTTTGCAGAAGCACGCTCAGATGTGATACGAATAGTGGAGTATGAGGCGCAAGCAGCGTGAAAATAGTGTGAACTGCCATGTTTGGACGCATCCTGATAGAAATTGTACAAGATTAGGTTGTACTGCCCTTTCTGACGTGGCTAGGGTATATGGAGAATGGCTGCCCTGCTGTGTGGGGGTCTCAGCCCGCATGTCGCTGTGCCCAGTGTCGGAGGGGCTGAACGGGACGGACCATAGTCCATAAAGCTGTAAGCACCCTGTTGACAGTGTCGACGTGTGCGACGTGTCGACCATGCACACAGGCCGTGGCGTCCAGCGCGACCAGAATGGCTTTGCGGCCAAGAGTTTGAGGTCTCCTGCGTTCGGATATCGACAGATTGCGCCCATTGCATTCTCGCCATTCGAGTGCATGGGTTTCCAACCGATTCTGTGAGAATCGAAGCGGCCTTCCGTGGGTTTCTCACCCAAGGCCCGGATTTCTGCCTGAGCCAGGACGTGCAAGGCCCAGAGGCCCCATTTAGTCGGATTTTTCCATGGCAGAGTCGCTGGCGACGTGTTCCGAGGGAGCTGTACGACCCCAAATTCGTCTCCTTCGAGACAAATCCAATCGAGCCGGAAGGCGGGGCAGGCGAAGGCTTGGCGCTTTGTGGATTTCCGCCAGGGTTGCTGCCATGTCAGACGGCCACTTTTGCACAGCAGTATTGGCGTGTCGAATGTATCACAACGGGCAGCGTGCTTGGACGCGAATGCCTTGCGCCAGCTGCAGGTTGCCGTGCGCAATGGTCTGCCAGCGAGATTGGTACGACTCAGAACACATGCAGACACTGCTTATGAGACCACACGTCGAGATGCTCTGACACCACTCGAAAGCTCCTTGGAAACAATTGGAGACATCACCATGCTATCAACCGTGCATTCATTTGCAAGTTTACAACTCTGACGTGCATCTGTTCAATTTGGCAAACTGCTGCCATCCATGTAGCAACTTCAAGGCACCGGCTAACCAGGCGGTCATCTCAGGAATTCTGTTTCTGTTCAATGTTTTCCATTTCAATAGGAAGGAAATCTAAATGAAATAGTCCAGCATCTGCTAACCCTCAAATTTTAAGTTCAAAACTTCGCTGCGAAACTTGAACTGCAAGGGAGAGAAGCTAAGGGAAGAAAACCCACCACACGCCGAAGCTCATAGCTCTCACTTCAAAACATCAAACCTCATGCTTGATCATCAAAAATCCCCAAATTGTCCACTCGTGCTTAACCACGAACCCCCTCTCACTCACTGCTTGCTTCCGTGCAGCAGAAGAAATACGATATATACAGAGAGAGTACATCACAGGAAACTCCCTTCATGTTACGTTCAGCGGACAGACTAGACATCACAGGAGCAGAAAACTGGCCGCGTGTCCATCGACGGGTCGATCGGCCATTTGCCAGTGGTCCAGCAAATTGACAAGCCCTCGTGTCGTCGTGGAAAACGGGCCTCCACCACTGAGCATCACCTACGGTTGGTCCTGACGCGGAACTCTCAAGTTGAAGCGCACGGAGTCTGTATCACAGGCTCCGCCCCCTTCCACTGTTGTACATGTGTCTATTGCTCTCAATGATATAAAAGAATGCCTAAAAATTGTAATCGACGTTCAGAACTTCCACCTGGGGCACCTAGACCAAAGATGGCCAGCAGACTGGGACAGAGTCGGGTTCAAAACCGCCTTAAACAGTCTACAAAATTACTGACCATCAGGCACCGGGGCAGTAGTCCAAGTGTCACAGTTATTGACAGAGGTGCATGCCTTCATCATATCCAGCAGCACAGGTTTTCCTATGTTGTTCGCCTCGACCGCTTTCCTTGCCTTCTCAAACGGCGGCAAGTGCACCGGCTGGTATGCGGGCGCTCGCTGCTAGATCGCAGAGAGTCCCTTCAAGTCTCGGATGTAGTCGTACAGGCCTATGCCGAAGATCGTCAGAAGGGACGCCCCAGTGACGATACTGAGACCGAGAGGCCCCACCCGGTCATCGAAATACGTCGCCTGCATTCAAAGCACAGTGCAAGTCACACTAATTTCCTCAGGGCGAACGAGCGTACATTCCCTCTCTCACTCGTATGGACCACCTCCTCCCTCGCCCGTCCAGTACTCCACGTCACTCTCTCTAGGGGATGCATTTTTGGAACGGATGCTGCCTTCAATAGTGATTATGCATGCATTGAAGTGGGCATTCCCCTCCCAAGCAAGAAAGACTCTGCAAGACCATTGTAAAACAGCAACAATACCAAGAAACGCAGAATCCTGTTATTGCAACAAAAGGCCAACGGTAGTAAACACACAAAAGTCAGCTAAACCAGCGAACAAAAGATGCAACATCCATCTCTCTGTGCAATAGGAGTAGATGTGCTGTAGCCGGCACCACAGATGAGCTGCATCGAAGGAAAATCATGCTGCGGTGTATTTGATGTGCATTCGCCCATGACCCAACACTGATCCAGTCACTGGGAGGCAGGTGAGTTGGCCCTGAAAAGCCTTGCTGCCTGGTCTCAAATTACTCTGTCCAGCGGCCTGACGTTCATAATGACGGACATCACACTACAGGTTCTTTCAGTTCTTGCTGCAGCAGCCCTTGCCAACAGCGTTGCAAAACATACAGCACAAGGCACTGCAGAACTCCAGTGTAGATCCATTCATTTTCCAAACACCATAGTCATGACCATATTCATGACCATTGTCATGTTCTCCATCAACTCGGTGGTCTACAAGGGGATGACAATTCTCCAGTGCAGCATGTCTCCTTGCGAAATCAGTTGCAGTAGGGGTCTCACATGGTCTTGGGTTGTTTCTTGAGTTGACATACGACTCGCATCTATGCTGTTTTGCTGGGGGGCGGCAACTGAAATCCTAGGCAAGGAATACATTCTTATAGAAAACAACTTGTACAGCGCCAGCAGACACGTTGCAGCACACAGATAAGAGAAGCTGTTACCCTCTAGTCATTTAGCAGGACAAGTCTTGGCTGCATGCTCTGATTTGGGGCACAAAGTTCTGCAACACAGTGCAGGGCACATACCAGCTGCAGTCTTTTCAAGCTAAACACCCTTCCAAGGGGCAGATCGCAACACTGACCAAAACTAGCCGCCAAAGGTAAAATGAAACGACCTGGTCTCCTGCATGCTATGAGCTGTACGCAGCTGATTCACAACTGTCAGCAGTTGGATGCAGTCTGAAATGCAATCAAGTGGTGTGAAATGGGCCAATTTTCCCACCAGCATTATCAGCGTACCCTGAGCCTCGCAATCCGCCTGGATCGCCAAATGAACATGAACATGGCATAGCATGACATGAGGAGAGCAAGCGGCAGCAAAATCAGCGCATTGATCTCCACAACCTCCACCACCGCCAGTTGCCCTTGCTTCCTCGAGGCAGTGCCCCCAAAACCTGCACAACAGGATTCATTGCCTTATTCTTCAAACAACAGCAGAACTCAGACAATCAAATTAACTAGGCAACAAAACTGCACATATAAAAGGAGTCTACTCTTCAACTTCGGAATACACATCAAATGAAGCACACTATCAGGGACAATACACTTGCTCACAGCTTTGCTTCTGGTCAGCAGCCAAAAGCATGCACACGTCAATCTCCATTTCAGTTATGGTTTTGGTTCCAACCTCTGCAAAATCTGCACCAGGTGTACCCATGGACTGTTCCGCAGCAATAAGGTGGCCACAGTAACCCGATTTGCAGTTGGCTTTGTGAATCAAGTTTGAAAATAGCATTGCAGTAGTCATCAGGCAGGTTTGACGCATTGTCACCCATGATCTCACCAAGGAGAGCAATAGCGATTGACCCCACTGTGATGGCCATATTCAGCCAGGCCAAGTATGTGCGTTCATTGGCAAAGAAAGTCTTTGGCTCCACCCGCATTGGCGGTCGTCCAAGAGCTGTCTTCTTGGGTTTGTCAAGCCCCAGGAGTCGTGTGAAGAAACCATGGCCGCTGTCACGGCTGCCTGCAGAAAACCTGCCAGATACACTGGCTGACATGTTGCCACCAGTGGCCACCGATCGAGAGGAAGGAAGGCCGTTGCCCATGGATCGAGCAGATGGAAACCCGTTCCCCGTGGACCTAGCAGACCGCATGCCAGCTGCACAGCAAGCACAGGAGAGGAGCAAGTGCATGAGAACTTTGACAAAGACATCACGCATCCCTGTGTGCGATGTCACTTGCTGACATGCCTTCACGTTTTGTGCTACAGTAGTATGTATGGACAGCAGTATCTCCTTGCCACCACCTGTAAACTGTTCCATGGCACTGGATCTGGAGTTCAGGTTATGCACAAAATGGAAAAGAACTGTCTGCACACCCAACACAAGTGTGGGCTGGGGGGGGGGGCAGCACCTGAAAGATGGAGCATGAATCCACTACCAAATGGCACCCTCTGGATAGCACGCTCACCATTTCTATCATCACCAATCAGGCTTATTGATGGCTCATCTGCCAAGAGTGGGTGCCTCAGCTCATCAAGCCTAGGGAGTCTGAGCCGTGGGACATTCCGAGGGGTGTTCCTTGGTGTATCTCTCTGGGTATCCCTGGGGGTGTTCCTTGGCGTGTACCGCTCAGTTTCCTGGACATCGATCTCGAGGTCCAGAGCGGAGGGCGGCAGTTCCACCACTGGATCCTCACTTCTGCTGTATGATGGAGCAGACATCAACATGGAGGGGCGAACTGACTCATCGTCCACCCAATATGGTACTGCCTGAACCATGTCAGGGAACAGGGTTGCTGTGCCATGGATGAACTTCGAGAACTTGTACACTTCTGTGCACAGGCCACTGTCCAGGAGTTCCTGATGCAGGAGCCACAGAATTGGAATCAATGCACAGATTCATGTGCCAAAATGAAATTTGGAGTGTGCATTTGAACTGTGGTGAAATGTCTGTCACAGCATCTGATGCTCTTCACCCTTTGCTCAGCTCCACACTTGCAAACATAGGTGGGGGTGATTGGGATAGGGGCTTGGGAGGCGTGTAGTTGTCAGGGGTGGCCAAAAGTCCCCATCAGAACACAGCACATTGCTTGAATTGCCATCTGGCAGTGTTTGCTGTAGTTCCTGCCCAACACAACAACTGAGGAATCCCCAAGCTGCCAAACTGGGGGTGAGTGGACGCCTATGTGAACATGAGCTTTGCAACACCTGGTGCACATTATGTCAAGATGTTTGGTGCGTGAATATCCAAACTCTGCTCCTCTGGAACCATGTTACAGCAGGAGCTCTGGGATACAACAGTGCAGAACCATCAGCACATCACAGTTGTTGTAAAACACATTATGTTATGTGAGGGAAAGTGCCTATGTGCACTCACAGAGAGTGCACTGCAGTTGGGTTCGAAAAACATGAAGTTGATCAACCAAGACCCCACCCAAGATGTCTGAGTGAATGGCACAATTGTGTCCCAGCACCAAACTGCGGATGAAACGTGCAGACAGTGACACAGTCAGAGGGCATTTCTGGGCAGAGGCATCCAATAAGTGGCCCTGCCTGACTTCAGCAGTGAAAGAACAAGGTTGGCAAAATCCAACGATTTCTGGAGAATGATTCTTCTATCCAAGTTGTTCTGGCAAACAAGTTCTCAGAAGTTGAAAAGCTTAAATCTGAAAAGAGTGCAAAGATGAAAATGCTGTTACCTGCACCCAAGCAGGTGTTGGGTCGCCTTCCTGGAGGGAGAGTTTGACTTCCAGAACCGCATGTGGGAAATGAGTGATTTCTGTCCGCTGGATGGGAAGCGCAGGGTCGCGGCACCACCTACCCATCAGTGTGGTGCTTGGACCACCATCTGGATTCTCTTTCAACATCACCAAATTTGTATCCAGCGAGATTCGAACAGAATCGTCAAATGGTACCTGTTTTGCACAAAGAGACCAATTAATGTACAACATCATATCTCAGGAAACTCAGTGGAAAATTCGTATTCTCACTGCTGATCATCCACAGCAAATCCGAAGTGTTGTCAAACAAACGTGATGGTGGTGCGCATAACAGGAGCAGCAAGCTGCAGCTTGATTGGCAGTTGCTCCATGTTGGCATGCTGCCAGTGTGCACCAAGAGACAAACAGCAGCTGGTCTGCATCCCTGTGATTCCTGCAGTTTGCTAGAGCAAGTCAAGCGCAAAGCAACAATTGGTGCTCCAAGCACAGTCCACGGCCAGTTAAGGGAATGGCGTATTTTTATCTGCCACTCAGTAGATTCCTTTATCGCTCCATATGGCGATCACGCCCCGCACAATTGGGCAGCATGTACAAAGGCCCCTGAGAATGGGTTCGACTGATGTGTGACATTTCTTGTTTCTCTGAGCAAACTTGACCACTAAAGTCAGCAACAGTATGGTTTCATCGCAACCACTTGCTGGACGATGAACTGTCAATGTTGAACACATGCAGAAATGTACATGACAGCAGCTTCATGAAGCCTTGCACAAGAGATGTATACTTTGAGGATGCAATGCTGATGCTTGTGACGCAATTGCAACATAGATGCAAGTGTAAACAAGCAAATGCACAGTGTAACTATAGCAAACACAATAGACTGGCTTCGTCAAAGGCAATGTCTTGCTGTTTCCCAGCGAACGCAGTTCAAAGGAAACTCATATCCCCACAAGAGATGTCATGGGCAGGGTGGGCCCACCTGAAAAGCAGTTCTCATGTACTGTGTTCGTATCAATGGCCTCAACTGCTTGGAGTCCACCTGCTGCTGGATTTGCTGTCGCAAGTCACATCAAACAGCAAGGTCAGAACTCAAGATGGCATTCTGGGAGAAAGGAAATGTGTCTTGCAATAGCCAAGGTGGTTGAATCCACAGAACAATTGCAACCGTAACAGGAAAGCAGCACTTCCTCTGTCCGCTATATTGTGTTCCCTTGTGTTTGTGGGGCTGAGTCTGTAGGAAGCTCTTGTTGCTTTGCTTAGAACATGAATCCAGGCCATCCATCACGACTAACTTCAATGCCATCTAAGTATTGGATAGCACAGACAAGTATGCAGATTTTGCTGTATGTCAACCCTTGCGACTCCAGCAGAAACATCCAAATCCTTGAGAAGCAACTAGACTACTGAATCTTGGTGTGAGTTTTGCAGGTTTGATGCATTTCCAGTCTGTTGTATACGCCCTTCTCTGCCTGTCCTGTAGGACTTGTAATGCATGCACTGCTGATGTCTTGGTGAGAATCTTCAAGAAAAAGCATTTTTGAAACAAAGCTGGCCTCAAAAACAAAAGGCAACAAGAAAACTGGACAATACTCTCCCTCTGTTGCAAAATATGTGGGAACCCTGCACATTGGTGAGCAGCATTGTGGTGAAAAGTGGCAAATTGTGACTCACCTGTCATTGCATATATTTGGGCGACTCAAGGACAGCTATATTTTGGGCTGACTGTTCCCCCATGCCTGGGGAACGAGTACACTGACAAGACTGACATGAAAGTAGGCGATCTCCACATTTGGGCATGTCAGTTGTGAAGGCCATAGTGAGGGCAGGACCATCCAAACTCACGATCAGAGGCCAGTTCAATGGACCAGCCAAACGAATATCTGGAGTTAAAACGTTGCTTTCCGTACAGCAGACACTGCAGTTCGTGAGCCTGGATGCTGTGCTCACTGTGAAAGAGTGCAAGGCTGCTGGAAATGCACAGGCAGAAATGGACATCCCTCCCACAGAATGCTGCACTGCAAACTAAAACTATTGTCTGTCCAGGCCAGAAAGCTTTCAATCAGGGCCGCCACACCACAACCTTGCATTGTAAGAACCGAGTACTTGCATGGACACATGATGCGAACCTAAGGTTCAAGCAAAATGCCAGAAAAATTATGCAAAGGGGTAGATGCACATCTGTTCAAGGCAGGTACCCAACAATTTCCCAGCTCACTTTCATGTTCAGGCACCGCAACAAAGGGAGCAGTCACTGCAGGACAGCTTTGCAAGGTTGCAGCCATGCCGATCTTCATAGCACAAGCACACATCCGACCAATTTTTGAATCACCTCACACAGCTATGCATCAAATCAACAAACCAGTATCTCTCCCAGCAGAGCGGGACTGGCACATGATCTCTAACATGTGGAGCAAACGTATAGAACCAAGCAAAGACTATATGCATTAACAATCAACACTTGTTGATAATATTGTCCGCCTGCAGAGCCCCTGAATCTGCTCCAGCATTGAGTGTCACCACCCTGTTCCACAGGACATGCAGGCACTGGATCACATTGGTTGGACTGTACTGGCCCCAGATAGCGGACGAGGATCGACGCTACAGGCAAGTCTGCAGCTCTGAATCGAAACAAAGCATGCAATAATGTTGAAGCTCCAATAACTCAGAACAACATTAGAAACACAAAACTTGCGACATACTGTGATTTTTGATCTGCCAGCATGCCCATGAGTGTTAAGATCCTCTTCTTTCTGATTCGCATTCAATTTTCAATTATCCATCTATTGGGTTTCTACTGCTTGTGCTTTTGGAGTGGCACAATGTCCACATCCCTTCAGATAGGAGAGGGACCCAGCGCCTGGACTCTTGAATTTGATGGAATGGTTTGCATGCTATACACATATGTGCTATACTTTGAGTCTACCAAATTATATACGTTTTGCAATAAACCATATATGATAAAACAGATGCCAACAGCTGGTTAGAATGAAGCAGAAAGGGCTTGCTCCCACCTCAAATAATGCTTCAAAGCTCTCAATCTCCTCTTCCGGCTTGTTCTGTGCCCTGAGGTCCCGCACTGCATCCTCTGCGGTGTACTCTCCCTCCAAGAACGACACCACTTTGTCCTCCTTCAGCATGCACCTCTCCTTCACACTTTCCTCACCCTTCCAGCTCTCCTGATGTGTCTTCCTCTCCACAAAGACAAAGTTGGGAGGCTGGCAAGGACCATACCATCTTGAACACTCACACACACCAGATAAGTCAAGGCAGCATGCACCCATTTTGGAAGAGCTGTGAGTAGGGAAATCGACTGACAACTGCTGTTCCTGCGATGCTGAGTCAGGTGAAATCAAGCCAGTGTCCATCTTTGGCGCAACCTTGAACAGAGTAAGCAGAAGGTCAGCCAATTGGTAGAGCAGGAGCATGCAAGGTTGTCTGCAACTGCACAAGAAAAAGTACTCTTGAGACCTTGATTGCACAATGAGCAGGATGTTGAGCATCCCGATGACATCAGGCCAAGAGTGGTGTTCTTTACAGGGCGTGGTCCTTTTCAGGGTGCGCTGTAAAAAAGAACCAGCTGAGAGTTGAGTGGCCTTGCGTGTGTGCCACACAACAGGTTTAGGAACAGCTTTGGTATCAAAAAAGAGAAATTAGCCTATCAAGGAGCTGAAATCTTGAGCTCTGTAACATTCCTCAATGGAAGCAAGAAGAAGACAGGAAAGGCAGATTTCAACACATGCACAGAAAGCTGCTTTGTCCCTGGTAGTTCCACACTAATTTGCGGCAATCCTGGTGTGTTTGCATACACAACAACAAAGGCGACCATCACCAGAGCCAGAATGGTGTTGGATGCTTTTACTCCCTGTACGCTTTTCTTTTCCATTATACTGATGACAATAACAAAGCCTGCTAGCAGCAAATGTGGTTATTGAGTTGCTTTGACGTGGGTGCTGTGCTGTTGCTGGTATTGCATGGATATGAACAAGAAAAATGCACTGTTGCCATTCAGTGCCAATGAATCTCCCAGTCCGTCCAAAATACTGAATTCATCCTTCGATTGAGGCCAGCACTGTCCACCTCGGTTTCTAGCAACAATGAAAGAACAAGATAAGATACAAGTGTAGGTGTGTGACACTCCAACCTGAGACGAACAGCAAGAGCATTTGGCCTCTTGTCAAGGCGGCCATGATACAGCTCAAGGGAGCTGTTGTCCAGGTAGACAGAGTTAGTGAGTTGTGCATCGCCCGCACAGTCCTCTTCGCTGAATTGGAACACAGGCAAGTGCTGCAGAATCGCATGTTTTACAGTAGAGACGTCTTCGCTCATCACCCAGTACTTAGTGGTTGAACGAACAAACCCCTGCAAAAACGTCCCACAGTTATTTCCACAGAGGTGCTCACTGCTGGGTAGTGCACTGTTACTGGAGCCATACATTGCGATGTGATGCATGCATACATCGCCCGCTGAAAACAGATCGATGCATCCTCACAGACAAGGTCAGGAGCAAAACTGTTGCCACAGCATGTGCCTCTACTGAATTCAGATGACCAGGCAGCATCAATGCCCAAACAGTCTGCTGGGACTGCACAGTGTCTGGCAAACGTGTCAGCTGAACAATGATAGTGAACGATTGAAATGCCGAAGAATACAGCTTAGCTGGAGAGCAGCGAGAGGATGGGATAAGCATGTGGAGATTTGGAGACTGAACAGATTAATGGCTTCTGCATATGTGGCCTATTGACAGATCGTGCTTGCAGTCCACAAACAGGTAGCAACAAGGTCAAATTTGCACCAATGCAGATGCTGTTGACTGAAGGACTTTCGTAATCCACATTTAGGGGTTTGCTTAACGACCATCATCTGACAGGTGAAAGGGCCATCTGCGATATTTCACAAATCACCTGGTGACCTTCTGGACTCTTGTTTCTTATTGGCTGCTTTCTGGCCAAAAATCCATTCGATATAAGCAATGGGCAAGATAACAAGTGTTTTGCATGTACAAAGCCTCAGCATCGATTACCAGGTGCAATCAGACTGCTTTGCTGCTGCAGGCAACACAATCCTTAGCTTTCAACATCTCCCACACGTGCTTGCCGCTGGGGCCCAGGGCTTCTTAGCAATAGGGCTGGATATGGACACTCCTTCTTTCCTTCTTTCTCTGCCCACACATCCACCCACCACCCCCATCCCCCAAACCCACCCAACCCTAACCTCAAACCCACCAACTTTGCCTGTTTGGCAAGAGGGACTGTGGTGCTTCATAAATTGGCCCTAGCTTGCTTCAGATGGACAGCAGTGTTCAAGTTGATGGGGAGGCAGCTGTAGGTATACAATGTAGATTCATTGCTCCCTGACCACGATGCACTGCATGTGCGTGCTTGCTACCAGTTGTACACACTTGCCAGTGGCATCCAGAACAGCACAGTATCAAGCACAGCCACGAGGATTGCACGTACCTGTGAAGCGTCCTCATTCCTCTTCCCAGATTTGTCCCTCCGGAGTTTTGAGTGTATGTTGCTCAGGGTGACCAAGACATTGCTGTAGTTGCCCCGCACCCAGGGCTGGTGGTGCAAGTGGGAGAGGTAGAAAGTCCGGCATGGAGTCTGGGGAATCTTCTTATCATGCTTCTTCAGAATCTTGTGGAAGCCCTGCTCGCACAATGACAAGAGACCTCCATGAAAGCAGTTGGACTTGAACAATATTCGCAGGCAACCTTCGCTATCACATGCACAGGAAGTTGCCATACCACAGAGGAGAACAGGGGAACGGAGAACGATGCTGAGCAAGGGACAGCAATGTATTGGGCGCAGTGGCAGAAAAATATGGCAGCCCACCCAAACTGGTCACCTGCATGTCAACACATCAGTGCCATGCTTACAACCAGCCATTGCATTATATGCATTTGCACCAAATGATCAAAGATGCAAAAGAGATGCATGGATTTGGCAGCCACCTTCCTTGACAAACTTGCACAATGACAGAGAGTGAGATGGTACGCTTGTGTTCTTGGCGGTAGCACTCAATGCAATGCCTCTGCATCTGTGGTGGCCCCACGACCCATCTCTTCTTCAGGATAGGGGCGACACCAGGACTTATAAATGTGGTGCAACATTTGGATCGCCAAAACAGAACGCTCTTTTGTGTTTGTGCGACCAGTTGTCTATTCGTGCTGTCCTCAGACGTGGCAGCAGGTCATCACTCCAATGGCGGAATGTTTATGGCGCCTGGTGAGCCGGACCTACACAGCACGTCGGTCTCTATGCCGCCAGGGTGTGAGTCATGCGCCTCAGCCACCCTGAGAACCTGCTGTGTTCGTGTGCAGTTCTGGACACCTCTGCACGCGTGGAGACAGCAGGGCTGCAGAATTCTGAGTGCGCGAACGTTCGAAAAACTTGATATTGGAGGTTTAACAAATCGCTTCTTTTGGAGCCGTGTGCTGTACTTTGGTTCGCCCAGTTTTCTTGGCGCACACAAGAGAGCAGAGAAGCGATCTGACAGGGTTTCCCCAGAGCGGCTCCGTGTGCGTAATCAACGCAAATTCCGGATTTCTCATTCCGGGTGACTGGAATTCACATCGAGCAGGTGGCTCCCAGTCGGCCATTGTGCGCATTGTCATGAACCTGGCTGCGGCGCCCACGATGCCAGAATCAGCGAAGCAACCGAGGCGTCTCCCTGTTGCTTCCGCCATGAACTGAACAGTTCTGATCAATGAATCGCACGGGCCATAGTGGGAATTGGATGGCAGCGACGAACGCGTTGGAGCCCCGCCAATGAGCACCCATCAGCCGGAAGTATTGGAAAGCACCAAATTGGAACCCACCCCACTCACCATGTAGTTTAGGTTCACATACTTCTCCAGGGCCAGGAACTCGTTCCCTATCCGCGTGGCTTCCTGGCCATGCCACACACTCACTGAGCCGCGAACTGTCACTGCCGGCCGGCGCGAAACGGCGCCCGCACACCGTGGCGCGTCGCAGGCCGGCGGCGACACATCGCCCCGCGCGCCTGCGGCCCGGGCTGCATCCCGGACGTCGCCAGATCCCCGGCATTGCGGCGGCGGGGCCGGCCGTGCTTTGGGCGCCAAGGGGGCGGCGGGGCGCGCACCAGCAGCATGGCGGCCTCCTGCTTCTCGTCGGCGCCCTGCCGCGCGTCCACCTTGGCCTCCAGCCTGCTGAGCGCCTGGCGAAGCTCGTCCACGCGCCGCTGCGTGAACTTGCCGATCTTGTCCACCTGGCGGGACACGGCGAGATCCTCAGCGCGAGATCACACCTGCCCGGAGGCCCCGAGGGCCTGAATCTATCCGCGCCCCCAAGATTTCACATTCTACGCCCGCTGAATCGCCTGAGGTGCGTTCTAAGGTGGCGGCAGACTGACGCGGGCATCGCCAAATGCCCGACACCGCCGCCGCCAAGCCCCTCCCCCCCGGGAGGCTGGCGGCTGCCCGCACTACCTCCGAGTTGAGCAGCGCGAAGAACTTCTCGTTCAGGGAATCATGGTCGCCGTTGCGCGACACACTGAGTGACGTCGTTCGCGGGCTCTGGGGCGCAGGGTGGATGCCGTCCGCCGCGTTGGACGCCCGCTTGATGAGGTCCTTCAGCGCGCTGTAGTCCAGGTACTGCGTGTACCACTCCTCCCTCAGGTTGGCTTCCAGGTATTTGCCGAACTTCATGGCGCCGCCTGCGTGGACGGGGAGGGGGGGGAGGGGGGCGGAGCCACGGCGGTTCCTGTGCCGGGAACAGCCACGCGGGGCTGATTGGGTGCGGCGATGTTGCGCTCTGGCCATCATCCGGGCCCATGAGCCCACAAATCTCCGGCATCTGCTTGCCAATTTGGCGCGGGACGGCCGCTAGTAAGCGTCCCGGAAGACATGGAGGGGGGCGGGAGGCAAGTGGATCGGCGTGATTTTGTCAGTGGAGGGGAATATGCCGCGGAGGGCGGAATATGCTGAGCAATTTGCAGGCGTTGCCGTGCCAGAGGCGCTGTTTTGGGATCCGCGAGCGGCCCTGGGATCTCCGGCGCCGGTGCATCGGGTAATACATGAATCTTGAGGCGCAGGTCGATGTGCGTCAGCTCCGTGATTGGACCCTAACAGCTCCACCGCGTACCGCACAGTGCTACACTGGTGACCAGCGTATGTCGTGTACGGCACCGGCCTGAAGTACTGCCTATGGAGGCGAACACGGCCGTGCCCACGCCCTCGTCTGCGGCCTCCTCCCTCCTGCCGTGCAGATGCAAAGATTCTCTGAGAGAGAAGACAAAGTGTGGCTGGGCACCAAACAGTCAAGAAGCGACCCACGTCGCGCCTTGTGGACGATGCGCGGTTCTCTTCACGGTTGGTTGCTGCAGAGGGGTTGCCGCGGAGTCTGGGCGCGGCTAAGCAGAAAGAAAAACTGCGGCACCTTAGTCAGCATTGACACAGCACGGATGGACAAGTGTAACCGATGTTCTCATCTGCTTAGTAATTTCAGGTTCTGTCATCGCCTCCAGCGCCAAGCGGCTTGGTTCATGGACAGAACATTTCCCTGCCAGCCCCTGGCGTCTGCGTGGGTTTTGACGGTACCCTGGGATTACCAAAATCCAATGAAGCCGCTCACTAGCAGCAGAACTTACCGCATAGCCAAGCACAGTGCGTGTGCATTGTGGCGGCGGTGCAAGACTGTTACCAGAATGGGTGGATGCCGAAGAGAGGTTCCAACACAACGACTTGCTCAGACGAGGTGGACGCAGCAGAAACACAGGCGCTGCGGAGAACACAGTTGTGTCGATGGGTCATTGGATCCCCAACAAGACACACCTTAATTGCTCCAGAACAGAATTATGCATTTTACTGAGCGAAACGGTGAGCAAGCCTTGAGTTGGGCATCCCGAAGTTTGTCAGAGGTTCTTCTGTCTGCCGGTGGAGCGCACAGCAGACGTTGAGTCTCGAAATGGGCGGCAACAACTCGTGCACAAACATTCGCCGGCGCGTGGCGACAGCTGGTACTGCAGGCTGAGACTGGGAAGAAACTGTGATAGTTGCCATTTTACAACAAATGCCCATCGTTCCGTTCTCTCACGACATCAGCGTATGTCCTTGCACACTGACGGTTCCAACTCCGGCACCTATTCCCGGCATATCGACGCGCGCAGCGCGTTAAATTCCGCCTCGCTGGCGTCCGGCCAGACCATCCACCCGCCCACCGCAATTACCCTGCTACGTCTAACACCGCCCCTTCCACAAAACCCAATCAATTGCCTAATCCACCTCCTCCATGCGCGACCCCTCGTCGGCCTCCTCCTCCAGGTCAGGCAGGTCCGCATCGACCATCTCGTCCTCGTCGATGGACAGGCCCAGCTTGATCATGCGGTGGATGCGGCTGCCGAACATGTTGGGTTCGTCCAGGGTGAACCCAGACGTCAGGAGGGACGTCTCGAACATGAGCAGCACCAGGTCCTTGACCGTCTTGTCCGACTTGTCCGCCTCCGCGCGCTGCTGCAGCTCGCCCATGATCGCGTTCTCAGGGTTGATCTCCAGCGTCTTCTTGGAGGTCATGTAGGAAGACATGGACGTGTCCCTGAGGGCCTGCGCCTTCATTATCCGCTCCATGTTGGCAGACCAGCCGTATTCGCCTGTCACCAACACGCAGGGCGAGTCCACGATCCTGTGGGACACCACCACCTTCTCCACTTTGTCGCCCAGGATGTCCTTCATCAGCTTGCACAGAGGCTCAAACTTGGCAGCCAGCTCCTCCCGCTTTTTCTTCTCGTCCTCGTCGTCGTCCAGCTTGAGGCCCTCCTTGGTCACGCACACCAGGTTCTTGCCCTCGTACTCCTTCAGCTGCTGCACGGCGTACTCGTCGATTGGGTCCGTCATGAACAGCACCTCGTAGCCCTTCTTCTTGAGCACCTCGATGAAGGGGGACGTCTCCACGGCCTTGCGCGTCTCGCCGGTGATGTAGTAAATGTCCTTCTGGTTCTCCTTCATGCGGGTCACGTAGTCCTTCAGCGAGATGTATTCGTCGCCCGACTTCGTCGAGTAGTATCGCAGAAGGTCCGCCAGCTTCGCGCGGTTCGCCGAGTCCTCGTGGATGCCCAGCTTCAGGTTCTTCGCAAACGCCTCGTACAGCTTGGCGTAGTCGTCCTTGTTCTCCGCCACCTCGCTGAACATCTCCAGGCACTTCTTCACCAGGTTCTTGCGGATGACCTTGAGGATCTTGTTCTGCTGCAGCATCTCGCGCGAAATGTTCAGCGGCAGGTCCTCCGAGTCCACGATGCCCTTCACGAAGTTCAGGTACTCGGGCATCAGCTCCTCGCAGTTGTCCATGATGAACACGCGGCGCACGTACAGCTTGATGTTGTTCAGCTTCTTGCGAGTGTCGAAAAGGTCGAACGGCGCGCGCTTGGGCACGAACAGCACCGACCGGAACTCCAGCTGGCCCTCCACGCTGAAGTGCTTCACGTGAAGGTGCTCCTCCCAGTCGTTGGTCAGCGACTTGTAGAACGCCGCGTACTCCTCCTTCGTGATCTCGTCCGGGCTGCGCATCCAAATCGGCTTCTGCTTGTTAACGAGGTTCCACTCGTGGTGCACCTCCTTCACCTTCTTTTTCTTCTTGTCCTTGGCCTCCGCGCCCTCGTCCACCTCCTCCACTTTCTCCTCGTCCTTCTCCCCGTCTTCCTCCTCCTCCTCGTCGTCGGACACCTCCTTCTCCGTCGTCTTTTCCGTCCAGAGCGAGATGGGGTAACTGATGAACTCCGAGTGCTTCTTAACCAGGTCCTTCAGCCGCCGCTCCTCGAGGTACTCCAGCTGGTCCTCCTTTAGGTGCAGCGTGATCTTGGTGCCGCGCCCCAGGGCCTCCCCGGAGGTGTCCCGTGCCACGGTGAAGGAGCCCCCGGCCTGGCTCTCCCAGATGTATTGCTCGTCGTCATGGTGCTTGGTCACCACGGTGACCTTGTCTGACACCAGGTAGGCGGAATAGAAACCCACGCCGAACTGACCGATCATCGATACGTCCGCGCCCGCGGACAGGGCCTCCATGAAGGCCTTGGTCCCCGAGCGTGCGATCGTCCCCAGGTTGTTCACGAGGTCCGCCTTGGTCATGCCGACCCCGGAGTCGATTATGGACAGCGTGTTGTTGCTCTTGTCGGGCACGATGTGCACGAACAGCTCGGGCTGCGCCTCCAGCACGGACTTGTCCGTCAGGCCCTGGTACCGAATCTTGTCGATGGCGTCCGAGGAGTTCGAGATGAGCTCCCTCAGGAAGATCTCCTTGTTGGAGTAGAAGGTGTTGATGATGAGCGACAGCAGCTGGTTGATCTCCGCCTGGAAGGCGAACGTCTCCACCTCTTCGGCCATGGCTACAAGGCGCTTCCGCGACGGATGCCGGGAGGCGCGCGGGGGGGAGACGGCAATCGCCTGCTGCAGCTCTCGCGGCGGGGAGGGCGGCGGCCGTGCGGCAGCAGGCTGGCTCGTGGTGGTTCGGGAAGGCTTGGGAAGCGACAGAAATAGGCGGCGCCGACGGCTGGGAGGCGCCTGCCGAAAGTTCCACACACTTCGGGCCGCCCGTTGCTGGCGGACGGGCATTTGGGCAGGGGGAGGGGGAAAATGGGACGGGTAGATGGGGGGGGGTGAGTCATCGATGCCGGCTGCCAGGCTCCAGTCTCGAGCGGCGCGCGATGAGGCGTTGTGAAGACTACGATCACGGACGTGCGACCGAGACGCGACCGAGACAGAGACTCAGTACATGCACGCCCTTAACCCTGACACCCGGCCGCCGGATCCTGACCAGTCTCCGTATCCCGCAGTGTTCCCGATACGGGCCACAAGCATGGCGACGGTGACGAGGCCGGCTACGGAGATCGGTCACGATTTGGACGGTTTTTGGGTCAGTCTTCAGGGTGTCCGGGTACGGTGACGGTGAGCGGAGACGGAGGCAGGCCAGGACTGGGAGATGCAGCGTTCGGGTTTAGGGTGTGTGCGAACTGGGCCCCCGTCTCCGCCCCCGTCCCGGTCACCACGGTCGTCCCCGCCTCATCTCCGACCCGTCTCCGTCTCGTCTCCGTACTCGCGGCCCGTCGCCAGAACGCTGTCAAGAGCTTCGAGCGAGCGCACAGGACGCCAGGAGCGCCGTCATTCACTGGCTGCCGCAAAGTTCGCGCTGTTCCCCTGGCAGATCACGCATGCAGTGACAGTAACGGAGCAGAGGCGGGTTAGGATTGGGCTGCAGGGCGTCAGGTATGCACGATTTGGGCGCTGGACCGCGCGGTTTGCACTGGGGATGGCCTCGAAGAATGAAACGAAAACACGCCAAGCTTCAAATGATTCACACGACCCCGGCATTTCACACGATTAGCATTTAATTCATTTGAACAGGCGGACGTGTGTATGAAAGAAAGGGGTCCGTTTGGCGGGAAATCGTCCACAATATCTTGCCAGTGATCATGGCAGCAGCCCAGCGATGGAACCAGAGCGATGGGGTCCCAAGGTGCATGACGGAATGGATCCTTCGCCCGCCGGATTCACACCCTGCGCACACGAACTACGAGCCAATCCATGATTTCCTGCAACGGCCCACAAACAAAACCGGCCTTGAATGGACTGCGCTTTCGACCAACGCTTCGTGACTCAAATCGGAGCAGTATTAGTGCACGTTAGAGCTGAAAGCACCAGCCTTTTCGTTGAATCGCCATCGCCATGAGGCTGGGTGGCACACCCAATGAGTGCTTACTGTGCTTAATACAGTTCCTAATACAATGAGTACATGAGCGTGACCCGTTGCAGGGATTGAAAGTCACAGACTCAAATAGCCC